TATTTCTAAAATGATTAAAGCCAACAAAACAAACAAAAGGTCGATAATCCTTGTTCGTACGGAATGTTGTGTCAAATGAGACAACGTCTCCAAAGTAACCATAGTCAATAATCATTTTCGGGTCAGCCCAAAAAATATTTGTAATATGCCCCTCAACATCCAACTGGATACCATAGTAAAATGATGTATTTTTAACAGCTTCTAACCGAAAATAATTCAACAAACTACTAGCTTCACCATATCTCAACTCTCGTTGCCTCCTTTCACGGATGTAGTTTTTTTGGTCTTGCCGAGTGAACCCCAAATTTTCCCTTCCACCTACTTGGATATTCATAAGTTCATATGAATCTTTAAGTAATATCTCACAATCCGCTGCCATGTCAACATGAATGCCTTGCACAACAGAAACCTTCGTTTCGAATGACATCATATGCACACATTCCTTAAGGTGCAATGGATGATTGTGATCATCCTCCCATTTGACCACAATAAATTTTCCAATTTCCCGATTGAGGGATATGCACATGTGAGCTGGACATTTGGTTTATGTCTCGGCTCGCGACTTTATTACTTTCCAATCCCTTTTATCCACATTTCTTTGTCCCTTTTTGCGACAAACATACTTTCTATAAATCATGATCTTGACTTTCTTACTTTTATTGTGATAGTATTTTCTCACACTAAATCCCACTGAACCTCTATATTTGTTATAAAACTCATAAGCATCTTCATCCGAGTCAAACTGCATATCAACACTTGGAATGTTCACAATTTCATTAACCACAACGGACTCCATTATAGATGTTAGTACCTATAAAAAAAATGGACTAACTATTGTATCAACACTAAAACAAGCTTCAATGTATTTTTTTTTTTTAACAGTATGTTACATAGAGAAGGTGAAAATGAGGTTCGAACCCACGATCAATATAAATTAACAACAAACCAAAACATCACAATTAAATTATATCATAAAATTTAATAATGATCAAAGAAATCAACAAAACAATCAAAGATTCAAAATTTTAAAATTTAAATTTAGGTCAAGAAAAATTCAACTAATAAAAATGTAAATTTGTGGGTGTGTATGTATATTCATATATATATATATATACACATGTGTGTGTGTGTGTGTTGATACATATCCATTTAAAATATTCGAAATGGATATAAAAATACCTGAAATGGACGAAGGGGACGAATCGCAAAACTCAATAAACAAATATTGGTTTGTTTCTTGTAAATAAACAAAGCATCGCAGCAATATGTTCACAAGCATGACTGGAACTAGATTGATTTTTGGTTCAGCGGCTGTGTGTATGTAGGAGTGTGGAGTGTGCCAAAGTGGCACCAAAAGTTAACTTTTGCCCATGATTGGATCGGATTCGGCCAAAAACCCAGCTGGTTTAGGTCTGGTTGGTTTTTTGAAAAAGGGCACCAAACGGTTCTGTTTGGGAGAAGAGCAGCTCTTGTTGTTCTTAATGAACAGCAGAGGAGCCGAATTCGTTTTTGTGACCTTGAAATATGAAATAGAATTGGTCAGAAACGTTGTGTTGTATTATTTGGTTTTAGGGATATGCACATGTGATATGCACATGGATGATTGTGATCATCCTCTCATTTGACCACAATAAAATTTCCAATTTTCCGATTGAGGGATATGCACATGTGAGCTGGACATTTGGTTTATGTCTCGGCTCGCGACTTTATTACTTTCCAATCCCTTTTATCCACATTTCTTTGTCCCTTTTTGCGACAAACATACTTTCTATAAATCATGATCTTGACTTTCTTACTTTTATTGTGATAGTATTTTCTCACACTAAATCCCACTGAACCTCTATATTTGTTATAAAACTCATAAGCATCTTCATCCGAGTCAAACTGCATATCAACACTTGGAATGTTCACAATTTCATTAACCACAACGGACTCCATTATAGATGTTAGTACCTATAAAAAAAAATGGACTAACTACTGTATCAACACTAAAACAAGCTTCAATGTATTTTTTTTTTTAACAATATGTTACATAGAGAAGGTGAAAATGAGGTTCGAACCCACGATCAATATAAATTAACAACAAACCAAAACATCACAATTAAATTATATCATAAAATTTAATAATGATCAAAGAAATCAACAAAACAATCAAAGATTCAAAATTTTAAAATTTAAATTTAGGTCAAGAAAAATTCAACTAATAAAAATGTAAATTTGTGGGTGTGTATGTATATTCATATATATATATATATATACACATGTGTGTGTGTGTGTTGATACATATATCCATTTAAAATATTCGAAATAGACATAAAAATACCTGAAATGGACGAAGGGGACGAATCGCAAAACTCAATAAACAAAGCATCGCAGCAATATGTTCACAAGCAAGACTGGAACTAGATTGATTTTTGGTTCAGCGGCTGTGTGTATGTAGGAGTGTGGAGTGTGCCAAAGTGGCACCAAAAGTTAACTTTTGCCCATGATTGGATCGGATTCGGCCAAAAACCCAGCTGGTTTAGGTCTGGTTGGTTTTTTGAAAAAAGGCACCAAACGGTTCTGTTTGGGAGAAGAGCAGCTCTTGTTGTTCTTAATGAACATCAGAGGAGCCGAATTCGTTTTTGTGACCTTGAAATATGAAATAGAATTGGTCAGAAACGTTGTGTTGTATTATTTGGCTTTAGGGATTCGGAAAGGAAAAATGACAAACCTGCATTAATGGCATATCTTATTTATTAATAGGTTCAAACGAAGGTCCTCACACAAATATTGTAATCTTAATGTAGACGAGCAAAGAAGTTAGGTATGGTGGTATAAGTGCCAGTGGATTTGTTTTTATGACCTTTTCAACTTCAAGCAACTAAATAAATTTTTTACCTATGGCATCTGACAGACGACTCTATGGTCCATGACCAAATCACCTCTCATGTTTGGAGGAGATATGAGAAAGCTTGATGAAATAACATTCAATCTCATCACAAATCCTATTCTACTGGAAATAAATTCCTTCAGCTCAAACACTATGGAGGCAAGAAAATTCATCTACTGATGCATACTTCTTTGGAGGAAAGATAAGCATGACAACATCATTAAAATACTACTTGTATGTGCATTAAAATAAGGTTCATCTACTTGTACGAGTAAAGAAGTTAGATTATGTTAGATTATTTAGAATATTGTTGGATTATTTATAATATTATATTTATTTAAAATTTTAGATTATGTTGACTTGAGTTTGAGCTTGGGCGGGTATAAGAGAAGCGAGGACAGGGCAAGGATTAGAAATTTATCCTCAGATGGAGATGGAGATAAAATTATACCCGTTAACAGAGGTGGACCGGAGATGGACGAATTTTTTTTAAACGAGTACGAAGATGGAGACTACACCCCTGCTCCCGCTATGGGTTGAAAAATCTCTGATCGGGCCAACAGTTATTGAGACCTAAACTAATTTATCCTTTTTTTTTTAATTTCATGCCCGTCGTACGATGATTTCAAACATTTTTTCCAATATTATTATTATTTATTACAATTTTTTTCACAGCCAAAATATAAAATAATAATAAAGATTAATAGCACTTTTAATCCTTAAAATATATAATTTTTGTTAGTTTGTTTCCTAAAGAAATAATTTTATCAATTTAATCCTTATAATATTCAATTTGTATTACTTTGATCCTTAATTAGACAATTTGTTAAGTGTTTTAAAAGAAATAACCATGTATTACTCTTTCAAACAGTATCATATGTCCAACACGTGATCATTTCATTAAAAAATTAACGATCCGTTTTATGTAGGGACCATTTTTTATACGAATTGAATATTTTATGACCAAATTAATACTTTGATGACTAATTTGACAAAAAAATATATACTTTAAAAATCAAAAGCGTTATTAACCTCAATATCAATACCCCCATACTTGATTATACCACCCAAAACTTGTTAAACCTTTACGTTTCTCATTACAATTGATTAAAACTTTCATTTATTCACAAATACGAATAAGAAGGTCAAACAATTTGAGAATTACAATCCTTCACAACCACAATATAAAAAACTATCAATCTTCAGGAAACAAATTAAATTACCCATCATTTGTTGAGTTAAATTATCAATCTGATCATTAGTAATTTGAGTAAAAAATTGAGTTTTTTTTAAGGTTAATTGTATTAGAGATTCTCAAAGTATAAAATTTGTCTAATTTTAATTCATAATATTTCATTTATATTATTTTGATTTTTGAAATATTGAATATATTTCTATGTGATTCTTTAAACAAATAACAACTAAATTTCTAACGATTTTTGATCATAAACTTGTCACGCGATATCTAAATATGGACAAAAAATAATTTTGATAGCTCTTGACCAAATTTTGGATAACTCATTATCAAAACTATAAAATTTTGGTAACTCTTTAACCAAAGTTTGGATAAAAATTTAATCCAGGGTTATTCAATTTTTTTTTTTGCTATATTTATATATTACGTGATAATTTTATAATAAAAATTATTAATAATTTATAAACTGAAAAAATTACATAAAAATATATTCAATATATTAAAAACAAACAACATAATTAAAATATTAGCGACAAAAATAAGGGAAACCTCATTCTTTGCGAACCCTCTAACGTAATTAACCTCTTTTTTATTTGAATAAATTTTTGAGTCCCTTAAACAACGTGTCCTTTATTTATAGCATTGTTTATTATTGAACGGTTCTGGTTTACTCCTTGCATATTGATTGGACTGTGGATTTCATTCTCCGCAAAACGCGTGCCAATTCAACTACAAACTTCACTTCGCATCTTCCCTCAGAAATTCCCTCTCGCTTCCTTCCCAGTCCCATAGACCTCTTATGACACGACCATTCCCGAAACTCTCTCTCTCTCTCTCTACGCCATACTTGTCTCTGCAAAGAATCTCCATTCTCCCCAATCCACCTGTAAAACACCCACAACACCAGAAATTTCCAATTCGTAAAGCAAAACTATGCTTCGTCTCTGTTGCAGAACCACCCGTCGTTGTTTCCACTTCTCTCTCCTCCGCCGTTCATTCTCATCTTCACCGTCTTCTTCTTTAACAAAGCGCAACCCGGAAGACTCCGTTGATTACCCAAACAATTTCAAGAATTCCCAACGTGTCCCTCCACCGCCAATCCTCCACCACAACCCAACCCTTCTCTCTCCTCCTCCCTCCTCTCTCTCTTGCAAGTCCCTTGTCGCTATATCCGCAACCCTAGTTTCCGCCATTATCGCCTCATATGCATTGATTTTACAAAACGACGACGTAAAACCAAGGCAACACAGGTCGAATAATCCAATCTACAATGAAATTGAGCACGCAATTGATTATTCTAATGAGTCGTTCAAGAGAATTGTGCACCGGTTCAAGCAGACCGGTGTGGCGGCTTCGGTATTGTGGAAGTCGTTGAGGTCGGTTTTGTCTTCCGCAAACCATGAGGTTCGGGTGGGGTTTGAGCTTAGGGTTGCGTCGTTTTTAGCCGACATTGTGGCGGCGAATGAGATTAGGAGGGCGTCTATTGTTGGAGCTGGTGGCGGTGCGGTGGTGGATTGGCTTCTGGAGACGGTGGCGGTTTCCGGGGATAATATTGGGACCCAGGTGGAATCAGCCAGGGCTTTGGCGTACTTGGTTGCTGATCCGAACGTGTCTGAGAAGGTCCTTGGGAGGCCTCACGCCGTTCCCAATCTTCTAAGGTTCATTTTCTCTGCGCAGCCTCAGAAATCGAAAAAAGTAAGTCTTCTTGAATTTTTTGCGGTTTAATTTAGGGATATTTTGTTTGAATTGTTGTAGAAATTATAATGCTTGTTAATTAAATCCTCATTGATCAATGCTCGTTTATGAATTACTGATTTCTTGAATTCATCGTTACATTAAGTAAAACTTGTGGAACTTAAGGTAGGTTGGGTAAAAATTTTAATGGTGTTATCGGTGAGTGGATTGTTCTTGGATGCGGTGTTTGGCACATATTTGAGCACATTTGTCGACATATGACTGCTAGAAAGAAGAAATGAACATTTTCTTTTATTGCGGGGTGAGGCATTTTGTGTTCTTGAAGTACTATAATACATTAAACGAAATTTGTTCCATTTTCGGAATCAATTCTAGCTTCTTGATTGAAGTTGTTGTATATGTTACAGCGTTCCCTATTTTCATTGTGATCACATTTGAGTGAACATCACTAAAAGTGCTTAGTGCTATTCTTTTAGTGCTTCTTCTGAATGTATTAAATCATAGAATATATTTTTCCGCCCTCAGAGATTAGGAGAGTATTACTTGAATTTTCATTTATGATTTTTGGTAATCCTTTTTCAAAATGTTTTTCATTGGCATTGATATACTGCATTTTTGTGCAAGCAGCAAACAAGACATAGTTCATTCGATATTTCTGATTCTTTGAAAGGTAGGAGCATGCTTGTTGCAGCTATTATGGATGTTGTCACTTCCAACTGTGACACCGTAAACAAGGTATCATTTAAGCCCTCGCTGCCCAGAAATGCTGAAATGAGAGATATTGCGGCAGCTATTGAAGTCATTGAGGAAGGTGCCATCCATTTGGATGAGACACAAGGGAGTGAAGAGGATAAAGATGGTGGAGAAGGAATGAGGGGCATTGGAATCAAAGTTCTTGGAGGTACAACAGTTTTGGGCCTTTCGAGAACTGATGCACTTGTGGAGATGGAGCACTCTGATGGCAGTCACCTAACCTCAGTTAAATATACACCTAAAAATCTTTTGTTTAAGAAATTCAATGACAGTTTTTCAGGACAAGAAAATTTGTCATCTGCTGTTGTTCCTGGCCTCTGGGATGATTTGCATTGTCAACATGTTGCTGTGCCATTTGCTGCATGGGCGTTAGCAAACTGGGCAATGGCATCAGAGGTAAATAGATCTCATATTCAGGAACTGGATCGAGATGGACATGCTGTCATGACGGCTTTAACAGCACCAGAGAGATCTGTGAAATGGCATGGAAGTTTGGTGGCTCGTTTGCTGTTAGAGGACCATAATCTGCCCTTGAATGATTCTGTTTCTGAGTGGAGCTCTAGTCTTCTTTCTACTGTTTCTCAAGCAAGTAAAACTGAAGACATATCTTTGGCTCAAATGGCTTTGTCTGCATTTTTGGTCTCTATTGAGAGAAGCCCTGGGGCACAGGAAGTAGTAATGGAGAAGGGTCTTCCTCTGATGAGAGAAACTGCTAAACAAACAACAAAGCATAAGCCTGTACAGGAGGCATTGGCAAAGGCTTTGGAATCACTTTGTGCAAGGAACTTGCATTTGTCTCTTGAAGAAAGTCAAAAGTGGTCAGGCATTCTGCTTCCTTGGGTTTTCCAAAAACCGTCGTCTGACATATTGCTATCTTCAGCAACAAATATTCTTTCACATATTCTTGAAGATTACGGGCCATCTGCTCTACCAATTTCTCAAGGATGGTTGGCTATTATGCTAACGGACATTCTTGGTGCCAGGAAAACTGCATCAACCAAAGGAAGCTCTCAGCCTAAGAGTGACAAAGTGAAGGTTTGTAGGTGCATCATGAATTTTCCTTGGAGATAGCTTTGAATATAGAAATTTTTTATCATAATATTTCTTGTTTGGTCTATTTAGTATGTACAAGTAGAAATATATATTATCAAACTATTTATCGCAGGGGTATTCATGAAGCTATTTGATTTTTGCAGACTCAAATTGATCAGTCGAACATAATTTCCGCTACACAGATTGCTAATCAGTTGGCAGGTGCTGTTGTTAATTTAGCAGGAACCCAGATGGGAACAGCCACTGATAATGATGAGACATTCCCACTTGCAGATCTTCTTTCTCTTGAACCTTTTGCAGGACCACTTAAAAATCTGAAGAAAGATAGTCTTCCTAAATTTGATGCTGCAGATTCCGCATTGGCCACTCTGAAGGGTATTAAAGCACTGACAGAACTCTGTGCTGAAGATTTTCTTTGCCAAAACAGAATTGCTGATTTTGGGGTCCTGTGCTTGCTAAAACGCTTTTTGTTGGGAGATGATTATGAACAACTANGAAGGGTATTAAAGCACTGACAGAACTCTGTGCTGAAGATTTTCTTTGCCAAAACAGGATTGCTGATTTTGGGGTCCTGTGCTTGCTAAAACGCTTTTTGTTGGGAGATGATTATGAACAACTAGCTGCAATCGAAGCATATGATGCATCACGAGACCTGGAAGCACAGGATCGAGGTTCAGCTGTGCCCAGAGAATCTTCTGTTGCTGAGTCTAATGATTCTTCTAGAGTCAGGGTTCCACCTACGGCTCACATTCGAAGGCATGCAGCTCGGCTGCTAACTATTCTTTCTGTGCTTCCAAAAGTTCAGAAAGTGATCGTAACAGATGAAGTTTGGTTTAATTGGCTTGAGGAATGCGCCAAGGGGAGAATTCCAGGTTGCAACGACCTTAAAATTCAAAGTTATGCGAAAGCAACACTGTTAAATATATTTTGTAGTGACCAAAATGGCAGAAATCCTGCTAATGATAATGTTCTGGACAGCAGCATTATGAACACAAATCATACCTGCCCTCATTATGCTGACATGATATTTTTAATTAATCCTGAATTGCCGCACTGGAAGTGTCCAGGAAAAAAAGATCTAGACATCACTAGTAAGAGACCCACAGAGAAGTCAGACGATGCTAGTAATTCTGTGCCAGGTAATGATGATTATTCCGTTGCGACTGAGGACGGACCGTTAACCCGAGCTGCCCATGATGATAGCTCATCTACTTCTACTAGCGGATCTGAAAGCTGCTCACAATCAGAGTTCCCTCCACTGGATGTTGTCTTTGTTCATGGCCTGCGTGGTGGGCCTTTTAAGACTTGGCGCTTATCTGAAGACAAGTCATCAACCAAGTCTGGTCTTGTAGAGAAGATTGATGAAGAGGCAGGGAAGCAAGGAACATTCTGGCCAGGAGAATGGCTTCCAGCTGACTTCCCTCATGCCCGCTTGTTTAGTATCAAATACAAGGTCGTTCTGAGAACTGGAATCTTCAGTCTTAAACCTTAATGTAATTTTAATTTTGGCTTATTTTATTGTTTTTGAAGTAATTCCTCGCGTCGCAACAGTCTAGTCGCTGGAGTTTTTATTTTATTACCTGGGATGTGTCCTTTGCATTAACATGACAGTGTCTGGCTCTACTTTAATGTTTAATGCAGACGAATCTTACACAGTGGTCTGGAGCAAGCTTGCCTCTTCAGGTTGGCCTTTCTTATTTGACTACTTATCAGTGTTAGAACAGATGTTGCTTGGATCCTAAGGCATGCTTCATCCCTTGCATGCTGACCGTTAAAGTAGAATGTTTGAAAATATTTTGGGAACTGCCTAATATTATGGTTAATAACAATCTAGTTTTGATTTGGGTCAAGGGGTGACAGTAAGATGGTTCTTTCGGTTCTTTCTTAACCAGACCTCATGGTTTGAATATATGATCAAGTCAATCTTTTGACACTTCAGTCTCAGCTTTGTCATTTGACTAGTTTGGTTGCTTTGATCTGCCGAAGTTGGAGTCTATTATATATTTTATTTCTTCAAGGTCTTGTCATGTTTTTCCCAAATGCATTGGTCCCATCTCTTTATGGTTTTCACTAACATCTTTGTCTTGTCAAGTTCACGTATGTGATACTTCAATTCCATGCTTACATAGACATCATATGCCTGAAATTTATGCTTATCTTATTATTCATCAAATATTCAAATTTTAGGTTTCCGATGATTTTTCCAATGTCCAATGTCTGACTATTTGAGATTTCTTGAACCCTTCTATTTAAGAGGTCCTATTCTTGCTGCCTGGCATGTAGTTTTTAGTTCTCTACTTCCATATAAAGTAATTGGCATAACAGGTATGAATCAATATACTGACCGCAATGACTCATGTTCGAGAAGTAGGTGTTAGAGTATTCATAATAAGGGTAGTTTAGGCATTTTCTTTATGTTGTGTTGTCCTACTATATAAGGATTACTTTGTGTATTTCTAGGTTAAGCTGTGTATTACAGACTTTGTTTATGAATAATCTATTCTTCTTTTCTCTTCTCTATTCTCATTGATCAATTCTAACATGGTATCAGAGCTCTTTAAACCCAAATAATAATTTATGATTGAAGACTAGAAGATAACCTAGTGAACTCGCCGTGAATTGACCTGATGAATCCGACTGTGAATACCACCATCAGGATCGAATCTTCTGGGTCTTGGTGGTCTGACTTCTGAGTTTCAGTGAGTCACCGTGGAGGTGGAGTTACCNCCGTGAATTGACCTGATGAATCCGACTGTGAATACCACCATCAGGATCGAATCTTCTAGGTCTTGGTGGTCTGACTTCTGAGTTTCAGTGAGTCACCGTGGAGGTGGAGTTACCTGGCGAGGTGATATCGTCCTTCACCGACAGGTTGTTGCTGGCTTGGGGATTTCGCGCAAACCAGAGGTTGAGGACGAAGGGATTTCATTTGGCTTGGGGTTTCGTCTGTGAACAGTGGTCGTCCAGAGGTTGAAGACGAAGTCTGAATTTTGATTTCATCTAGCTTGGGGATTTCGTCTGGCTTGGGGGTTTCGTCTGTCAACAGTAGTTTTCGTTTGTGAACAGTGGTCATCCTGAGGTTAAAGACGAAGTCCGAATTCCGATTTCGTCTGGCTTGGGGATTTCATCTGTCAATAGTGGTTGTCCAAAGGTTGAAGATGAATTCCGTCTGTGAACAGTTTCGTCTGGCTTGGAATTTTGTCTGGGTCCGAATTCCGTCTGTTCATAGTGGTTAGTTTTCTTTTTGTTTTCTGCTCTTGGTTTAGACTGGTTGTTTGGATTGTTGCTATTTGGTGTTATTGTTTCTTTGGGCTGCTGAGTTTGAATTTGACTATGGTGCGTATTGATAATTGGTATTACAATGACAAGTGGTCACTCTGATTCACTTCAAGCCATTAGTGTGAGACTAATTGGTGAAAATTATGTTTATTAGGTTTATGTTATGAAAATTTTTTTGTTGGGGAAGGGCATGTGGAATTATATTAGTGGTGATGTACAACCTCCAATTGATATTAATGCCGAAAATTATGTTGATTTTAAGAGTACTTGGGATATCAATAATGCGAAAATTATCACCTGGATTAATAACTCAGTTGATCAGACTATTGGGGTTCATCTATCCAAGTTTACCATTGCTAAGGAAATTTGGGATTATTTGGCCACACTTTTTGTTCAGTCTAATTTTGCAAAAAGGTATCAGGTAGAGCATGGGATTTGAGATACGCGACAAGGGGACAAAACCATCCAAGAATTCTACTATGTTATGACTGGCTTCTGGGATTAGTTAGCACTTATTGAACCCACTGAGTTGAGCACTAATCCAGCATATCGCACCTTCAGAGAGGAACAGAGGCTGGTGCAATTCTTGATGGCATTTAGGGATGACTTCGAGGGACTTCGTGGTTCCATTCTTAATTGTCACACACTCCCCTCAGTAGATGCAGTTGTTAATGAGCTCTTAGCTGAAGAGGTTCGCCTTAAAACCCTTTTTGAAAAGAGTCTTCTTCCACTACCAAATCAGACTGTTTTGGCTGTTCTTTCCAAAGTGGTCTCTAATTCCCAAAACAAATATCGAGGTCGAGTTGCTTTTGATGAGTGTAGTTTCTGTCGTGAAAAGGACCACTGGAAGGCCCAATGTCCAAAATTGATGAACAAGAATGCACAAGGATCTCAAAATCAATCATTTAAGTCCAGAGATCGCCATACAGCGGCCGTAGCACCACCAGTGGATGAGTCAGCTTCATCAGCTCCCAACCTGACTATGCTTGCAAATTAGCTACAGAAGTTTCTCTCTCTTGATCAGTCTAGTGCTCTCACAGTTTCTCCCACTATAGGTTCGTTCAGCTCAGGTCCTTTAGGTATTTCTCGAACTGCCTGGGTCTTTGACTCAGGTACAACACATCATATGACCAGTGATTCCTGTTTGTTTGCATCTATTGTTTCTCCTCCCACTTTATCTGTTCTTGCTGCCAATGGTTCTCACATGTCTTAGTTGGTGTTGGGACAATTATTTCTTTCAACATTACACTTTTCGATGCAACTTACTTTAAATTTACTTTCAGTCAGTCAACTATTTGATTCTGGATTTTTGGTTTATTTCTCTTCCTCTGGTTGTGTTGTGCAGGGTCCACGGTCCAAGAAGCTGATTGGGACTGGCCGTAGACAGGGCGGGTTATAAGTGTTAGAGGAGTTGCATGTTCCAGTTGCTGATGCTGTTGCTTCTACTTTTGATTTATCTTCTTTTCGTTTGAGTCCAGAGTCATCTAGTTTTTATTATGGCATTCTCGTTTTGGTCATGTTTCTTATTCTCTTTAAAATTTTTAGCTTCGACCGGTAGTTTGGGTAGTGNAGAGGAGTTGCATGTTCCAGTTGCTGATGCTGTTGCTTCTACTTTTGATTTATCTTCTTTTCGTTTGAGTCCAGAGTCATCTAGTTTTTATTTATGGCATTCTGGTCTTGGTCATGTTTCTTAGTCTCTTTAAAATTTTTAGCTTCGACCGGTAGTTTGGGTAGTTTAGAAAGCCATGACATTTCTGATTGTAGTGGATGCAAGTTGGCTAAATTTAGTGCATTGCCATTCAATAAAAGTGTTACTTGTTCTCTTGCACCATTTGATCTTGTTCACTCTGTTATATGGGGACCGACTCCTATTCCTACACAAGGAGGGTCCAAATATTATGTTTCATTTATTGATGATTACACGAGGTACTGTTGGGTATTCTTGATGAAACGTCGATCTGAATTCTTTTCTATCTTCACTACCTTTCGTAACATGGTACGCACTCAATATTCCGTAGTCATTAAATGTTTTCGATGTGATCAGGGTGGTGAATATACTCTTACTTCTTTTCATNGTGATCAGGGTGGTGAATATACTCTTTACTTCTTTTCATGATCTGTTGAAATCTGATGGTACACTTTATCAATCTTCTTGCACTGACACACCTGAGCAGAATGGTGTTGCCGAACGAAATTACTTTCATATTCTAGAGACAACACGTTCCCTTCTTTTATCAGCACATGTTCCCAGCTCATTTTGGGGAGAAGCAGTTTTGATAGCAGTTAATTTGATCAACAACATTCCTATTATANCTTTTATCAGCACATGTTCCCAGCTCATTTTGGGGGGAAGCAGTTTTGACAGCAGTTAATTTGATCAACAACATTCCTACTATANGTTATGTGGTAAGCCACCTAACTATTTTTCTTTAGGTGTGTTTGGTTGTATTTGTTTTGTTTTACTACCTCATGTTCTTCGTACCAAACTTTCTGCTCGTTCAGCTTTATGTGTATTTCTTGANGTATTTGTTTTGTTTTACTACCTCATGTTCTTCGTACCAAACTTTCTGCTCGTTCAGAATTATGTGTATTTCTTGGTTATGGTGAGGGTCAAAAAGGGTATCGTTACTATGATCCCATCACCCGCAAACTTTATATCTCTCGTCATATTATTTTTATGGAGCATATTCTCTTCTTCTCAATTCCATCTAGTTCTTCCGCATTGAATAAGTTTGACTTACTATACATTGATCCCTTTCCTACCAATGTTCCTCATGATACATATGTTGGTGATATACTTGTGTCAGATCCTTCATCTTCTGAGTCGACTATTACTCGTCTCCTTATTGTGCATACATATGTTCACAGGACTCCAGTTATCTCCTCTCCAGATGCAGTGCCTCCCTTTTCTTTTCCAACCGCCCAATCAGGTTCAGACACTGTGGATTATACCCCACGCTATCCTCAGCGCTCTCGCAAATGTCCAGACAGGTTTGGTTGGAGTAATACTTGTTATTCTTTTGACTTTTGTTCTTTCCTTATCTCTATTCATTCTCTATCTGAACCCTCCTCCTACAAGAAGGCATTACTTGATCCACTTTAAAAACAGGCTATGGATGAGGAATTGTCTACCTTACATAAGACCAGAGCCTGGGAGTTAGTGTCTTTACCGCCTGGTAAACGCACCATTGGTTTTAAGTAGGTTTATAAGATAAAAACCAAGTCAGATGGTTCTGTGGAACGATATAAAGCTCGATTAGTAGCCAAGGGGTTTGCTCAAGAATATGATCTAGATTATGATGAGACTTTTGCTCCTGTTGCCAAGATGACTACTGTTCGTACCGTGATTGCAGTTGTTGTTATTCGACAATAGAGTTTGTCTCAAATGGATGTGAACAATGCATTTTTACATGGAGATTTGACTGAAGAGGTTTTTATGACACCTCCCCCTAGATTATCTTATAGTTCTGGTCAAGTATGTCGACTTCATCATGCCTTATATGGTCTTAAATAGGCTCCCAGAGCATGGTTTGTCAAATTTTCTTCGGTTATCTGTGACTTAAGTTTTCGTGCCAGTGACTATGATTTTGCTCTCTTTTACGGTCAACTTACTCAGGTTCTATTATTCTCTTACTATATGTTGATGATATGATTATTACGGGTGATGACATTGCTGGCATCTGTTTATTGAAAACCCAGTTGTGAGACTATTTTGAGATGAAAGATTTGGGGCAGCTTAGATATTTCTTAGGTATTGAGATTGCTTCCTCTCCTAAAGGATATCTTCTCTCTCAATCCAAGTATGTTTTCGATGTTATTGAACGAGCTCGTTTATCAAATAATCGGACAGTTGGGACACCTTTAGAACTCAATGTTCGTTACTTTTCGTCTGACGGTACTCCCTTATCTGACCCAACCCTCTATCGGACTATTGTTGGGAGTTTAGTATATCTTATAGTCACTTGTCCGGATATCTCTTGTGCTGTTCACATTGTGAGTCAATTTGTTGCCTCACCCACCACAGTTCACTGGGCTGCTGTTCTTCGCATTCTTCGGTATCTCCGTGGTACTCTATATCAGAGTTTACTTTTTCCTCACTCTTCATCTATGGAACTCAGGGCTTACTCTGATGCTGACTGGACTGATGACTCTATGAATCGTAAGTCCATCACTGGTTTTTTCCTGTTTCTTGGGGATTATCTTATTTCCTAGAAAAGCAAGAAACGAACTGTTGTTTCTTGTTCTTCTGCTGAAGCTGAGTATCGTGCTATGACATCTACTACAGCTGAGATAGTCTGGTTATGATGGCTCCTTGCTGATCTTGGTATTTTGGTATCATTTCTTACTCTTATGTTCTGCGACAACACCAATGCTATTCAGATTGCTCATAACTCAGTCTTCCATGAGTGCACAAAACACATTGAGATTGATTGTTACTTTGTGCGTCATCATCCGCAACAGGGCACCATCACTCTCCCCTTTCTTCCTTTTACAATGCAGATAGTGGATTTTTTTACGAAGTCTCATACCATAANTCTTCCATGAGCGCACAAAACACATTGAGATTGATTGTCACTTTGTGCGTCATCATCCGCAACAGGGCACCATCACTCTCCCCTTTCTTCCTTTTACAATGCAGATAGCGGATTTTTTTACGAAGTCTCATACCATAACACATTTTAGATTTCTTCTTGGCAAACTCTTGATGTTTTCTACCACATCATGAGTTTGAGTGGGGGTGTTAGAGTATTCATACTAAGGGTAGTTTAGGTATTTTCTTTATGTTGTGTTGCCTTACTATATAAGGGTTACTTTGTATATTTCTAGGTTAAGCTATGTATTACAGACTTTGTTTATGAATAATCTATTCTTCTTTTCTCTTCTCTATTCTTATTGATCAATTCTAACAATAGGTAGGGTGGCTTTTGACTTTTATGGATCGGGAGATGCGTGTTTGTGTGATGTNGATTTCTTCTTGGCAAACTCTTGATGTTTTCTACCACATCATGAGTTTGAGAGGGGGTGTTAGAGTATTCATACTAAGGGTAGTTTAGGTATTTTCTTTATGTTGTGTTGCCTTACTATATAAGGGTTACTTTGTATATTTCTAGGTTAAGCTATGTATTACAGACTTTGTTTATGAATAATCTATTCTTCTTTTCTCTTCTCTATTCTTATTGATCAATTCTAACAATAGGTAGGGTGGCTTTTGACTTTTATGGATTGGGAGATGCATGTTTGTGTGATGTTTTTTTTTTTCAAAACATCTAAATGGTTTAGGTTGAGTTATTTAATGAACAGTAAGTCCATTCTATTAGAGCATCTCCAACAACAAAATGCATTTTACCTACTCAAAAAGCAACATTTTCTATTTTAGCTACTCACTTTTTCAATACACACTCCAACAGATTTTCTATATATTTAACTACTCATTTTAAATATTATTTCTCATTCCTTTTGTATTATTTTTTTTGGGAATAGTGAAAGGGAGAAAGAGAGAGAAGGGAAGAAAGGAGAGGAAGAGAGAGAAAATAATATATATAAATGTTTACATATTAGTGTCACTGTAGCAAAAATGTATTTTACATAATATGAAAAGCATATGTTGGAGATGAATTTTGGCTTTAATTAGCTAAATTTTAGCTATTTTGTTCTTTTACAGCTTCTGTTGGAGATGCTCTTACTGGCAGTGCCATAGTATTTGAATTTAAATGACCTGGACAGACCCCAAGTTTACTTGTTTTGGTATCAATTACTATCTATAAAATACAAATGTATTATAATCTCTTTTATTGAAATCAACCAAGTTTTAGGTAGCACAATGCTAGACATTATCTGGCATCAGGCATACTATATCTCCGCTGCTTGTCACATTCACTACCTTTTTACAATATACTTTGTGATCACAGCTGTTCCTGTGCTTGCCATGATATTACTGCTCAAGTCCCGTAGACACTCTTTTATCAATGTGTATACTGATGTTGTGCAGGAAGTAAGTTCAATGCTGCTAGAGAAGCTTGTTGGCGTAGGCATCGGGAATCGACCTGTTGTATTTGTGACTCATAGGTATGTTTGGTGCTTGTTCCTATTCATTTCCCTTTCTTTGCGATTCTATATTTATGTTTGTCTTTGTTGGTCGGCAAACACATTGATAGAGCTCAAGCAGTTTTTAGCATTTGCATTGTATGTGGCACTCGATTTTGATGTAAACATTGTCTCATTTCTGCAGCATGGGTGGCCTAGTTGTCAAGCAAATGTTGTATCAAGCAAAAGCAGAAAATAAGAATAATCTTGTTAACAACACTCTAGGAGTGGTATGTTTCCACCAATGAAATAGAACCTTGTTTACCTTTCTATTATCACTTTTCAGTCAATCAAAGCATTTGTGTTTTTCTGGTTTCAGGTGTTCTATAGTTGTCCACATTTTGGCAGCAAACTGGCCGACATGCCTTGGCGTATGGGTCTTGTGTTTCGCCCTGCACCCACTGTTAGTTTTCATTTATTTCATACTGAGTTTTTCTTCTTCTGAAGAGTACTTGGTGCTGGTGGTCGTTCCTGAAGATTTTATAATCACTGTAAGTTGTCCTATATTATAAGTGGCATTAATCATAGTTGGTTCTTGCTGATGTAGATAGGAGAGCTCAGAAGTGGATCTCCAAGATTAGTGGAGCTGAATGATTTTCTTCGTCAGCTTCATAAGAAAGGGAAGCTGGATGTTCTTAGCTTTTGTGAGGTAATAGAGTTTAATTAACATTTTAGTCTTTCTATAACCTTAAATGTCTGTGCATTGATTGTGCTCGAACTATTGTGAGTTTGATTGGCTATTGACTGTTGCACAGACCAAGGTGACCCCAATTGTTGAAGGTTATGGAGGTTGGGCCTTTCGAATGGAAATTGTACCAATAGAATCAGCATATCCAGGATTTGGTGAACTTGTTGTAAGTTAGATATTGGTATTTTAATATGCCATCTACGACTTCATTATTTCCATTGTATCTGCCAAAATGATTTTGATTTAATTGCATGCGTTTGAGTTATTAATCCCAGGTTATGTCATTGACATCTAGTGCTCATGTTTCTGCACTTCCTTGTGTATATTATGCTCATTGGTGTGACCGTACATTGTGCTCCCTTAAATTATCTCATCCAAAACTTAAATATTGTAGTTCAGTGTAGAAGGTCAGGATTAGATTAAAAAAATTGAACTTAGGATATCATGGATCAAGGCGGGATTTCTTGCTGGTGACTTTATCCGACGTGCATATTTTTTGGCTCCTTGTGTGTTCACATCAGGATTTTCTTACCTTCAGTTGGATGTTTCATTAAATATACATCTAAAATTTCTAGTACACAAAAAAATGGCTTTTCTGTTCATAGAAGGGTTAAAATTCTGATTTAACGGTGAATAGATAAATAAAGGACTGATAACTTGAACTTGTCGATTTTAGGGCTAATAAGAATGATTTTCGGGTGTTGAATTCTTCGAGAATATATTTATTTTCAGGGATGTTGTCTTTTTCACTTTTGGCATATTAGCTTTGAATGTTTTCTAAGATTTGTTGACCATAAAGCTTATGGTGACTTGATTGTCAAATTGCTTGCAACTTACATTGCTCATATTAATTTTTGTTCTTCTTTTTCCCTTTTTGACTGTTTTTGAATTTGGACACAGGTGTTGGAGTCAACAGATCATATAAATTCTTGTAAACCTCTTAGCCGGGCTGACCCTTCCTACAAGGAGACATTAGACTTCTTGTATAAGCTGAAAGCGCACTTTAGATGAAGAGATTTATTTCTATGCTGTATACGAGTAGAATAATTAGTTCATTCCGAGTCTGGAGTTGGGCTTGACATCGGTGGATAATCTGCTTGGGAGCTGCCTGATTCAATTTTACTACACTTGGGAGCACCAAGCGAGAGTAAGTGGCCTGCATGCGAAGATGCCAACATATAGTGATGATGCCTGCAGAGGACAATCTGTTCTTCTGGTCAACCAAAAAATTGCCTCTTTTTTTTTTTCAAAAAAAATTTAATGGGTTGTATATTACATATCCTACAGTTCTTATGGATTAAATCATCCATTTTTTTCACAAATTCTTTCCTCAAGAAATTCCCCCCTTTAATCTATTTTCCTCTGTTGCATCCTGTATATAGGCAAACTCTTGGGGAATGTTATACGTGCTGCTCTGTTCCAAACAGTTCTAACGATTGTTGTACATATGAATAATTTTTTAAGAGAAAATGAGAAGATAATTGATAGCTTATGTAACTTGGATAACTGTTTTGTGATAACTTCTTTGTATGTTCATGTTTAGTTTTATTTTTCCAGGACGAGCAATGCTATGTTCTGTTCCAAACAGTTCTATTGATTGTTCCCTGTCTATGATCGTTTCAACAATGGTGAAACCACAGGGTTTAACCTTGGGTGACCATATGTCTTTGTGTACAGTGGAGATGATCAAGTGACTAAAGGATTAAACAATAATAAGATGAGAAGTTAATTTTAAATCTAAAGAGTAGTTCAAGCGATAATAAGAACGAGTTGTAAATTCATATATTTTGCGTTTGAATTTTTATAATTATTTGAGGTTAGGTTATAAAATATTTATCTTTCATAAATATCTTAGTTCTGAAATCTTTGACCGGATTAGAAAGAGGATTAGTTGAGATGTACGTAAGTTTACTTAGATACCGAACCAAAAAAAAACTCATTAGAATGCCCAATAAATAGAATGAACCCGAATGAATAAATTCAGCGTTTAATCTCTAGATCAAGGTACCATTTGCTGAACCTATAGATAGATCGAGGTATTACATTGCACCAGTTTTATATCATTGAGGGTAAAATTCAAGAATCTAATTCTTTAAAGGTACAATTTAAGAATTAAAATATCTTGTGGGGTGTAAATTGAAATTAACCCCAAAAAAGAGACGAAAATTAGGGGCATAAAGTTGCAGAGAAATATAGCGAACAGACGAGAGAGAGAATGGTAGCAACAGCGTACTGGTCTTGTATAAAGGCGACACCAGGACGATTGATAACAAAGCCTTTTCCTTCATTGCCCCATGAGTCTACAATCCGATTAAGCCGCAATTCTCCAAGAATTCGAACAAAAATCATGAACAGGGATTTCAATAACAATCGCCCAATTATCTTTTGTTGTANTTTTATTTTTCCAGGACGAGCAATGCTATGTTCTGTTCCAAACAGTTCTATTGATTGTTCCCTATCTATGATCGTTTCAACAATGGTGAAACCACAGGGTTTAACCTTGGGTGACCATATGTCTTTGTGTACAGTGGAGATGATCAAGTGACTAAAGGATTAAACAATAATAAGATGAGAAGTTAATTTTAAATCTAAAGAGTAGTTCAAGCGATAATAAGAACGAGTTGTAAATTCATATATCTTGCGTTTGAATTTTTATAATTATTTGAGGTTAGGTTATAAAAGATTTATCTTTCATAAATACCTTAGTTCTGAAATCTTTGACCGGATTAGGAAGAGGATTAGTTGAGATGTACGTAAGTTTACTTAGATACCGAACCAAAAAAAAACTCATTAGAATGCCCAATAAATAGAATGAACCCGAATGAATAAATTCAGCGTTTAATCTCTAGATCAAGGTACCATTTGCTGAACCTATAGATAGATCGAGGTTTTACATTGCACCAGTTTAATATCATTGAGGGTAAAATTCAAGAATCTAATTCTTTAAAGGTACAATTTAAGAATTAAAATATCTTGTAGGGTGTAAATTGAAATTAACCCCAAAAAAGAGAAGAAAATTAGGGGCATAAAGTTGCAGAAAAATATAGCAACAGAAGAGAGAGAGAGAGAGAGAGAGAGAGAGAGAGAGAGAGAGAATGGTAGCAACAGCGTACTGGTCTTGTATAAAGGCGACACCAGGACGATTGATAACAAGGCCTTCTCCTTCATTGCCCCATGAGTCTACAATCCGATTAAGCCGTAATTCTCCAAGAATTCGAACAAAAATCATGAACAGGGATTTCAATAACAATCGCCCAATTATCTTTTGTTGTACTGAGTTTAACACATCCACAAAATCATCAGAAGAAGGAGCTATAGCGACGACACTGCCACCGTCGACAATGGTGACAACCAATGTTCCGATGAGAAAGGCGAGGAGGAGGTATAGGAAGCTATACCCAGGTGAGAAAGAGGGTATTACTGAAGAAATGAGGTTTGTCGCTATGAAACTGAGGAACTCTAAGCCCAAGGTTAGGAATTGTACTGACATCAATAAGAGTGATGATGCTGATGTTGCTGATAACGTTGAGGCGATTTCATCGTCGCTGGATGAGGATGGTAATGGCGATTGTGGTGGTGGTTGGGAGCCCAGTATGGAGGGGTTTCTCAAGTACCTCGTTGATAGCAAGCTTGTTTTCAGTACGATTGAGCAAATTGTGGACGAGTCCAGTGATGTTTCTTGTGAGTATTTTTGTTTTTCTTTTTAAATTTTGCTCTTCTTACACAATCTGTTCAAGTCTTTCTTGGTTACATTCAACTGTTATTCTTGGAGGGTTTTGAGTATGTTATGGATATTCTTATTGTTGATTAATGGCTAACTCATATGAAAAACACCTAGTTCCATAGTTGTATTGTATATACGGGCAGTTGGTCTATATGTAATTGACTTCTTAACTATTTCTGAAACAGAATTGTGGGTAGGAATTTGGGGGATAAGGCTTTGTTGAGCTTGGTTTAGTTGTATGAAACAACTGGTTACCCAAAATCAAATTTTGTTTTTCTTGGATAGAGCTTGCCCATATTTCATACCCAACTTATGATAGGGAAAAACCATAATATCACTTCAAAACTTGCTCTTCTTATGTGGGAGAAGTGAAATTTGAGAAAATTAACAGGTCCCTCATTGCTTATCCATACATAGAATATAGAACAGGTGAGGAACAAAATAAGAATTATCATATTGTTGTGCCTTGATTGTCTATCCAAATAATGAAATGACTTACAGCTCTTATGTGTTTGTTACTCCTTAGTTTTTTGATATGGGATTCATGCATGCCAAATCTCAGAGATATGTTGCCATTGTTCCTCACACAGATGCCTATTTCAGAAAGACTGGATTGGAACGATCAGAAGGTCTGTCAAAAGATCTAGAATGGTTTAGCCAAAGGGATATTGTGATTCCAGAACCTAGTAATCCTGGAGTTACTTATGTCGAATATTTGGAGCAACTTGCAGAGAAGAGCCCCCCATTATTTCTCAGTCACTTCTACAATATATACTTCTCGCATATAGCAGGTGGTCAAGTAATCACTAAACAGGTATGTTTTGCTACTATTAGTCCCTTTGACCCAGTAATGCGGCTTTTTGATGTTTGGCTTAGTACTTTATCCATATCAAAATACATTATTTGATCACACATTTCTATTTAATTCGACTGAGACATATGGGAACAAATTACAAGAGCCTTTAGTTTTACAATGCCTACTCCTGTTTTAATATCAATTCATGTGGAATGTGAACAGCCCTGCTTATAAGATAATAAAATATTGCCAAAATTAAAGTCGTTAAGAATGAGAAGTTCCATCTATGTAGGTGTTTGGTAACATTAAAGGATAAAATTTTCAATATTATTCTTATGTACTCTTTGGAAGGAAGGCGGTAAAGACTAAAATGCACCAGTTTCTTTTTTTGGTGTTGCTAACTGCTATAATTGGGTTAGATATATCTGGGTTGAGTATGTGCATCATAATCGAGGGTAATCGGGATCATGACCTTCATGATCAAATGTAATGGAAAACTTTGACTGAGCTGAAAGTTCCACTCTCATTTGTGCTTTTCCTAATGAAATGATTGTACTTTGTCATTTCCTAACCTGCTGAGTGGATGGCTTATCTTTGTCAGAGAGATGAGACTGTTTCTTTGTATTGAACTCTTCAGCGGCCTAAAGGCTTTCCATTTAACTACATTGATCTTATGTATGTGGTATAGTGAGCAACGCCTGTGACCTTATTTGTTTTCTTTTATTTAATTTGTTACGACTAGGTCTCTAAGAAACTCTTAAAAGGAAGAGAGCTGGAGTTCTATAGATGGGAGGAGGATGCGGAAGAGTTGTTGAGGGGTGTTCGAGAGAAGCTCAACATGCTCGGAGAGGTTAATGCCAAGATTGTTGTGTTTGTTGGACTTCAACTTCCAGTTTGTATATGCATTGCTTGACACTCCTCTGTTGCTTCTTTTTGTAATTTTCATTGCAGCACTGGACTCGAGATGAGAAAAATAAGTGTCTAAGAGAAGCAACAAAGTCATTCAGGTTTTTGGGGCAGATTATCCGCTTGATCATCTTGTGAAGTAAGGTGTTTCAAGTACTCTGCATGCTAGGGGATTACCAAGCCTTCCCTTTCATCCCACCTCCACCANGGGGCAGATTATCCGCTTGATCATCTTGTGAAGTAAGGTGTTTCAAGTACTCTGCATCCTAGGGGATTACCAAGCCTTCCCTTTCATCCCACCTCAACCCTCGAATGTATGGAAAGTTAAAGAACTTTNCCTAGGGGATTACCAAGCCTTCCCTTTCATCCCACCTCCACCCTCGAATGTATGGAAAGTTAAAGAACTTTGTAGACCTAATGACAAGGCAAGAAGGGATAGATGTTTCTGTAAGATCTTCAAGTTAAATCTTACAAGCAACATTGTATAGATCCTCACAGTTCAATCTTTATGAATCAAAGTTGCTCTAGTTGCGTTGGTTTACATAGCATTGTCTTTGCTTGGAAATTTCCCTTGATTTATCTCTTGTTAGCCTGAGCAGTAATGTGAATTAAACTTCTTGTTTATCCAGCTAAAATTCCCACAGGGTTCTTTTTCTAAAAAATATTTCACAAACCACACTTAGCATCAAACTGCTTGAAATGACACAATATATCTGCCCGATACACAAAAAATGCGACGAAGAAATGAGCAACGAGTTGCCCAAAGACATCTAGTCAAGGGAAAGATATGCTATGAGAGCAACATTTTCTTGCATACAAACTAATCAAATTGAATAGAAAAGGGGAATTTTTTCCCCTTTGATTGGATCCAATCATACAAGAGTACATTCTACAGCTTTTCTTCTTTTCTTTTTTTGGGTTAGTACATTCTACACCTTTTCATTTCTTTCTTTTCCCTCCTTTCTTCTAATTGATTCCAATGACTACAATGTACAATAGTGTTACAAACATCATATAATAGGTCAGTGAGTTACTGACCCACTGATTGTTCCCGGATCAAGATTTTCTGTTTGTTTAATGACAAAGTGATCAACAATCCGTACAGTGCTTACAGGGTCCTGCTGAGAGGAAGCAGCCCTCCATTTGCTTGGAAACTCTCTCAGGTGGCTCAGCTGCTGCGGCTGTTTTGGTTCCCCATCCCAATTAGGGTCCAGCTTCCATTCCTTAGGAACCTGCACGGTAAAAAGTTTAGGACCCAATACCAGCATTCTGAGTAACTAGATAGAATCTTAGACTGTCTTCAACATAAACCAGATTTTACATAAGCATTTTCATCAATCCAAGATATAGGAACATTTCGCATTCAGTAGTACTACTTGGACCTAATTTTTGTNCTTAGGAACCTGCACGGTAAAAAGTTTAGGACCCAATACCAGCATTCTGAGTAACTACATAGAATCTTAGACTGTCTTCAACATAAACCAGAATTTACATAAGCATTTTCATCAATCCAAGAAATAGGAACATTTCGCATTCAGTAGTACTACTTGGACCTAATTTTTGGTAGTAGACTCCATACAATGTCGGGACCTATTGTCAATCCAATGATAGAATTGCATTAGGTTCCCAAGTTAATTCTAAGTAGCATTACTCTTCCGATTTGTAAGATTTATATATTTAGTTTTAATAGACGAATAAGTGAAAGGAAAAAAGAAAAGAAAAGGAAAGAGAGAAGCAACTGCTATAAGACATATTACAGTGATCTAGCAGGTAAGACCGTTACCACCATGAATAAATCAAATTTTGACTAAAAGAAATGAAAATAAAAACATAACATCAATGCTACATTTCCAATATAGTCTTAAAACATTAGATCATTGAAAAGAAAAATATAAGCAGGCTCCACAAAGAACTGAGAGTTGGAAGATGGACCTGAAGGGTGGTGTCCAATGGAAGGCATCAAACAATATTAATCTTATAGTTCAAGTAGAGATTACGGTCAAATGGCTGAAATTAAGGCTTTGTTGAGTTGAGTACTTGAGTTGAGTTCAAGTAATTTCAGATTCCTAAAGTCTACCACCAAATAGGAAAACACCACGTTAATATCTTACCTTGTCGACTGCAAGGGTGAAAACTTCAAGATCACTGTTGTCCTTGATATGGAAGCGTGTAAATGCCTTGTAATTAGCAATTCTGAGCGAGGAAAAGGCTTCATCAAAGTGTATGTGAAACCAGTTGATACAGATGTACAAGTAGCTTCCAAAGACCAAAGAAACCACGGGAGTTGAAAAGACCCAGAAGTAAAGGAAAACAGAAGCATAATATATAACAGCACCCCCCCGGGAAAGAGAATCCATCTTGTTCTTGCAAATATTACTCCTTGTGACAGCCATGACCTGATGATTTCTCTCATGAATTTACTGAAGTGGACAAGATACAGAAAAAGAAAGAAGAAAAAAGAGCAACCATGAGAAGGAAAGCATTCTCACCTCTGGAACATCAAATGCAGACATGAGATACTTAATACATGCTGGATAAACGCCAAATGTCCATTGGTCTATTCGAGCCCGAAGACCTGTAGGGTCAGGAAAATGCTCACTCTCCACTGATCGATACCATTCATATAAAGTGTGGTAACCTGAAATGTGATTACCAATCATTAACTTTCAAGCAGAAAATATTGGTTGTGTTAAGTAGTACCAGTCACTGTGTCACAAAGATCAGGTACAAAAGCCTTAACCACCATATTAGCAATTCACACATTATAAAAAATCTTTTAGAATCTATCTATAATCAAACTGATATTTAGCATCCAATTTCTTGTAGATGTACCTCCAATCACAGATTCACAATACATTACACCATTACTCATGACCCATATGACTAGCTCTTCAATCTGTAATAGCGTCCATATAGAGAAAGCAAAATGGTGAAGGGATTCATGCAGAGAACAGTTAAGATGCAGGGTTGGCTTAATTTAATTGACGCATTTATTACGTTTTGTGTTTTCATGCTTACTTGTGACATGTGCAAACATGGCAACCTGGGGGCACATGATAAGTATACAAACTTAAACACAAATTGAACACAGTGAAAGAGAAAACACAAACCATCTCATTTTTATAAATATTATGAAAACTCATCAAATGGAACACAAAATTTACCTGATGTTGCTAATAATTTATGCCGAACACACATCTCCACTCCCAATTCCAACAACACCATGAGAATTAGTGCCGCAGTCAGGTGGGTAGCAAAATGAAGAATCCCAATTATTGCCCTTCTTTTCCGAGATACTTTTGAGGGTACAAACGTGATTGCAAATATTAACAATAACAGAGCACCTGCTGAAGATACATACGACTGTCCTAGCATGTACATAAAAGAATCCCACACTGTGCTAAAGAAACTCCTTATGTGACCAGAAAATGAATCATCCTGTAAGATATGGCCTAGCTTACACTAGAAGAAGAGGAAAAATAATTAATCGTCGGTTTGTGGAAGAGTAACTTGACGTCTAATTAAAGCAGACTAGAATAGTTTTTCATCTAAAGGGAGAAGAAAACTAATAAAGCATCCAACTGAGGTAAGCCTAGGTAAGAGGAAAATTTTCTTTTTTGGTAAGTGAAGTGCATAAAGTCTGGCAAGGAGGAAACAAGGGACAATCTAGTTGGCAGGCTTCAAGTCAAAGAACACCTAAAGGTCCTAAACACTGCTACCAGACATGACTATAAGAGAATCTGTTAAATATTGAACAAAAACTCACCTGTGGGAACATAGAAAAGGTCAATACAAAGTATATAATGCCACCAATGAAATCAAACTGCCAATTTTTCTTTCGGAATTTCAAAATATTTCCCAGAGCAATCTGCAGTTAAATTATTAGCACATTATAGCACCCAAAAAAACAGATAAATCGATGTAAAATGCAGACATGGTAATTGCAAAGAGATTGAGATTTTTTACCCTGCTAGAATCTTCAAAAGAGGGATAAGAAGCCTTGCTCTCATAGGAGGTCCCATACAATCTGCTGAAATTACTGAAGACATGGGTGGGATGCAAAAAAGCCCCACCACAACCATTAACAAGTAAATGCTGCACAAAAACTGGCTTATCTGACGGAACGAAAGAATGGCGCATATAATGATGCAAGTCCCCAGCCATTCGAAGTTTACACCTCCCCTTTAAATGGTCACGTATCAGGTGTGTGACATTCTTTCCGGTCACATCATTCCAATACCAATCAAGAAGCCAATTTGGTTCATGTGTCACAATGATCACAGAATCGTTATCCCCAACCTGCAAAGGACTTCCATTTGACACATGATCCAACAAGAAACAAGCAAAATAAAAGATCACATAGAGAAGTCCTGCAGGTAAAGGTTGATGATGATGATCTTAATTTAACTATTTAACAACACTCATGCCGATTAGGTATCACCCACTTTATATATACAAATTTTCACAATGATAACGAAAACAACTATATGACAACCTCAATCATTCAAGATAACAAAAAACTTAGAATTTAGTAATAGAAGAAAGGAAGTGAAAAACACAATTAGGAACCATGTAATATAAGAGGCCTAAGGAATGAAGCTCACTTTTCAAAAGCAAAGCAGCCCTAGTATGGCAGGTGGGGTTTTGGCAACACCCCTACTTGTAAATCGAAAAAAAAAATAATCACAAGCCAGACTTGAAGAATAACTTATCCTGCATCACTTCAGTAGTTCTCTCCAAGATTTCCTAACATCATACTAAGTGGATATTCTGCCCTCAAGTCTGTGAGAGGCACTACCATTCCAAGACAGTTTACAATTCTCAGTGTCCATTTTGTACACAAAGAAGAGCTTGCATCTGATCATTTGTCCAAATACGCCTTTCTTGACGTACATTTAAACACTCATTTCACCATTGGTAGATGCGTATATCAAGGAAAAAGTCTCATGTTTATTTAGCATCCAATATGACGGAACACAAAATGCATCACTAATGTCATCCATTCTCATTAAATTTGCAGAAATTCTAACACAACTGCAACATATAACCAACAAAAAACCAAGATCACAGAGAGGAAGTACCTTTTCCTTTATTAATTCACAGAAAAATTGGAATTGGAACACGTCAATGTCACAATGGAGAGCCTGATCAAGACCAAATATCCACCACCTTTTTGGTAGCTGCAAAGCAAAGTAGCTCTTTTTCTGAGGCATAAACCAACCACCCAACCAGCTCTTGTGACAAATGTACCTCATGAACGTCTGAAGTCCATCAAACCAATCTGTAAAACAGGAAAAGTACAGTAAATCAACAGTTATAGCTCAACAAATTCAGAGGTAACAAAATTTGATCTACTGCCGCATTATTTTGCTTATCATGGTAAATTATATATTCTGAGAGAGACCAAGAACCAAACCAACCGTGGTTTCCAGGAATAACAAAGCACTGAGGTCCATCGAAATGCTTCAGCTCAGAAATGCCTACTGGTAATTCTGGCTTGTTTACAGCTATATGCTCTTCTTTATACCAGGGTGGAGGCTGTAGAGCATATTCAAAAGGACGAAAGAGCCGCCTTTCGTACGTAAATGTTGATGGATTGGGGTACCTATAAGAAATCCACAGTTAAATATACATCATACCAGATGCACAGTTTTGTTTACCAAATCCAATAGCTTAGAAGAGCATCTCTTCATATTCAGGCAGCAAAATGTTCCTCACTGAATATTATAACGAATTAAAATTCTTTTAAACACCAACTCCAGCCCCAATAAACTTGAATGGCAAACCCTCATTTAGCTACCCACAAACCAGTAAAAATTGTTAGCCTTAATGTGTCAAAGCAAGCAATAACCAACATTGAAAGGAGTTAGAATTGCATTCTTAAACTCCAATGAGCCAAAGTGAAAACCCCTAAAACTGTCTCAAAGTCAAATTTAATAAATTGGTGTGACCACAAAAGAATATCATCAGCCAAACTAAAGCAAATTAATAACCATGCACAACCAAAATGACAGTTAAGCCAATAGGACTCAAATCTGGAAAAGTTCAACCCCTTCAACCCTTCCGTTTGAAAATGCTAGATAGGAAATGCAACCATTTTCCCAATTTATGAGCAAGATAATTAACAACTGAAGTTGATAAAGTCCAGCCAGCTCAAACAAAACATAACTAGTGTCGAGCTCTATTTCAGAGATGCAAGTTTGAAAGGAAATTAAGAAATAGTGAGAAACATGCCAAGAGATTGCCAATTGCAAGTATCCATAATATATCTTAGTTTAAAGAGTTCAAACCAACAGAAGTTGTAAATTACAACATGGCATAAGCTTTCAATCCCCAACTTAAAGCAACTCAAAATGGAGTATTACCATTAAAAAAAAAAAACTCCCTACCAAATCAACAGGAAGAAGAAAATAGGAATNTGTAAATTACAACATGGCATAAGCTTTCAATCCCCAACTTAAAGCAACTCAAAATGGAGTATTACCATTAAAAAAAAAAAACTCCCTACCAAATCAACAGGAAGAAGAAAATAATAAGGGCAAACATCGATATACATAAGTGACACCTGAAGCAACCATTTCTAGAGCTGCAACCATATCTAGAGCTCTGTACCATTAAAGGTGACAAATTGAAGTTAATCATGGTGGTGGTGATGCATTGCAGGCAATGGTTGTAAGGACTGTGAATCTGTAATGCAAGATTTGGAGGCAGTGCTGATGGCAAAGCTTTTGTCCTCTCACTTCCATCAGGTCCCACTTAATGATTTGTAAATAACCCATCGCCTTAAAAATTTCTACATCTCAACACAAATTCGTAGTTAAAGAGGCTTTCCAACTCCACCACTAAGGATGCACCCCAACAAGGAAACAAAAGATTATGTAATTATAATATAACAATCCAATTACCACCCAACTTGCACCTTAAAGCCCATGTTTCTTCACACATTACATCACAGTGCACGACAACCATTATAAGCATATTCCTAGCAAGCTCAACTAGTCGTCAATGAAAGCCTAGAAATGGCACATAAAAGGTAAGGTCAGCCGAAAAGCATCACGTNTACATCACAGTGCACGACAACCATTATAAGCATATTCCTAGCAAGCTCAACTAGTCGTCAATGAAAGCCTAGAAATGGCACATAAAAGGTAAGGTCAGCCCTGTACTTGAACTGGACTTCTGGAGTGCAAGAGTGCAAAATCCCCATGAGAGCTGTGCAACACAGCCTATATATAGCTAGTAACCATTCAGCCATTGACTTTCAATAATTACTCCAATTCAACATCCTAGATATCATAACCACTAAATAAGAAAATAGTTGAGCTTACGCAAGATCACCCCCAATAAGGAGCAGGTTTCCACGAGGAAGCGTAAGCACTGAATCAGTACTATGGATACGAATTGAAGGTTGAGCAAGAAGCCGTGCCACAGTATAAGAAGAATTTCCACCGTCACCAGTATCAGCAATGAAGTCAAACCACAGATCGTCCTTTTCACTAAATTGATCATACAAAAGATCCTCCTGTTTAGCTCCATCTTGAACCCTGCTCATTGCTGCCTGATTATATTCAGTAGGAAAAGAAGGGAGGATGTCATTAACATATATAGAAAAAATGTTTAATTTAAGTTAGACGTACATTGTACACCTGCTGGATAATTAAATGGAAGAGTTGCATCAAAGAAACAAGAAAATGAAAGGTTAATTTATTATCCTCAGTTCAGGCAAATGAACAATCAGAAAAGAGCATCTAAACACGTATAAAACATAAAGAAAAACTATTATGGCTAAAGAACGAACAAAACGATACAAAATTAGCACAATCAAGTGTCTGTCTTGGCTTCTCTCACCAATTACTTCTAAAAGCAAGCCAGACCAACTGTAAAAGATCGTACTATCATACTGTGTAATTCTAGGCCTTGCTATAGCTCAAAATTGGCCAAACCATTTTACTAATAAAATCCACCTCTGAGGCCATGTTGACATACAATATCTGGCCACATAGATTGCCATCAATGTTTCAATTCAGTGAAAAACTTATAAAGAGAACCTCAGACATCCAAAATCATGAGGATATCATATTACAAGCAGAATGCCTCACAAAGGGATCCCTCGGGAGGGTGACTCCCCCAGGATTTAAAAATTCTTGACAGTCCTCTCTGTATAATTGCTGTTGACCTGTCTTTAACATTTAAAATGCACCGAGGTGCAACTGAAAAATATTCTTTTTTCATTTCCATTCATCAATTATTAAATTCAAAAAAGAATATAAGAAATCAATACAATACTAGTAATTTTTTGTTTTTGAATATTTCAGACACCAACAACCCACCCAATTGTGGTTGCTTCCAACATAATTTCAGCCACAAGGTAAGCTTTATGCAAGTATGTATCTTGCACAGGTTTTTACTGCCTTCAATGACATTGTTCAAGTTCCTTCCTTAACTCTGGTTCATGTTATTTTGTTAAAGCTCATCGTTGATTATGTTTTCTTTGTTTTGAAAAATGGAAATGATATATAACAAAGGGTTGACAAGTCGTTTATGTTATCTTACCAGTAAAGCCACAGCTTAGTTTCTTTGGATATGTTGGCTTTGGCTCCAAACACAATAATGCTGCATCCATCCCTTACTTAGAGTACCATGTTTTCAAACATTACTACATTATATCAATAAAAAAGATCTTCAATCCTTCAAAAGTATTGTGATTCTTGCAAACATTAATCTGTTAGTTACAAAATACCCCCTTCAAGTTTGGGGGCACGTTATAATCAACTCCCTCTGGTTTCAATTTAAGCAATTTACCCCCTTCAAATTTCAATTGGCCTATTTTAACTAATTGAATGGATGGAAACATAAAAATCCTAAAATACCCTTGCAAGCATAATCTCTATTGTTTATTGTTACTTTTTTGCCTCTATCACTGCCAAGATCCGCCTCCACATCAACTCAATTCTATTCCATCAAAATCCCCCAATCTAATTACACCTAATTCAATTCCATCAAAATCCCAAGCAGCAATGTGCAACACCTCCGGTCTTACGCAAACCTCGAACAAAATTTTGGCAAAATGGAGAAAGTATGTGCGTACATTTGTGTGTCATGTTCGCTAGTGTATAGAGAGAGGGTTGTCGGTGAACAAGATGGTTTTGGGGTATGGGGCTGATGTCAGTAGGCTACTGGTTCACTGTTGATGGGTAAGGGGGAGGAGGTTATTGGTCAGTGATGGGTAGGCAAGGGGTTAAAGTTGCTGGTCAGGGAGGGGGGTAGGCCACAGGTTAGCGTTAGTGGTGAAAAAGCTGGTTGGGTGAGGATGCATTGGCTGAGGCTAAGGCAAAGGGTGGCATTACGAAATTTGTGCAATTTTTTATTTGTGGTTGACCAATTTCCGCTAGTTTTGACCATGGACAGTTAACTGCGTGGCTAATTAAGATAATGTTTAAAGTATGAGGTTGTTCAAACTGAAACCTGAAGGATTCAATTGCAACATGACTATAAGTTGAAAAGGGCATTTTGTAATTAACCCAACATTAAAATAACAAGTAATCTCAATGATGTTTAGAAGAGAAAGAGAAAGATATATGACCATGGGTGAAAATTAGGAAAACTTCAGCCATACCCCTGTAGATTGCCATAATTGATACGTATATACACACCCCGGAAATATGCAAAAGATAATATCTCATTGAAAATTTTGCAAACTGGTTCTGCTAACTCTGTTATGAACACTAACATGAGGTGTTGTTTCGGATAATGCGAAGTGTATCATTGAAGTTATGGTAATCTACAAGAGGTGTGGCTACCAATGGGCGTTTAGTCCAATGGTACTCCGTACTCCTTACCTTGTTTTTTTTTTGGTCAGGAAACTCCTTACCTTGTTAAAGACTTTATTTTCTTGAGCTCAAGGGTTCATCCCCTCCCCCCCCCAACCCCCAAAGAAAAAAAAAAGGAGTTGCTGAGATTTTCTCAAGCATTAACAGAGGACAATGTGTATTTCACAAGTATAATTTGACTCGAACTTTTACCTGCATCATACGCATGTCAAAACGTCCAACAAACACAGTTACTGATACCAGTAGGTCAAAAGCTGTCTTGAATAAATCAGCTGATGTCCTGCAAAATATAGTCACCTGAAACATCAAGATAATTGATGACGCTTTTTGCACCTCCTCCTCCCCCAACAACCAATTGCCAGTTGCCACCCCCCACCCCAAACTAAAACAAAAAAATGCAAAAAGAAAAAGATAACTGAACAGAAATGAAGGAGAGATACCCTGAATACCAAGGAACCATATCTAAGAAATCAGGCTTAACTTGCTTTTTCTTCAACTTATCATATTCTTTTACCGATAAAGGGTGAGTTAGGGCCCACCTGTTGATAGTCAAACATCAGCGAAACAAGAAGCAAACCACACTAGGATTCAGCAGCATGACAGTTATACATAATGGGAAAAGGGAAGGGTGAAATTTGAATAATGCAGAATCATGCGAATAACAGTATCCACAGTTCTTCCACGCTGCTAAAATTGAAGATTTTGGCACGGCATTGATCTGCAGGGTGGAAATAGACTGATGCAAAAAATCATCCAAATATTCTTTTCTCTCCTCATGTGTATTACCAGGAAGCAGCCTATAAATATCAACCAAAGGATATGGCAGTACTATCCACGACAACTATATAGATGGCATGATGCCACACCACGAGGCCCGGTCAACTTTAACACCATGACACCCATCCCACCCTCCCTAGAGCTTAAGTCAAGACAACATGCAATTTCCACTACTGGAAGCGGCAACTATAACATTCATCCTCCTATTCCCATAAAATATCAGAAATCACGAGTCAAAAAATCACGCCATCAGTTACCACTCACCCCGTTGATCTTTCCACCACATAATTGGCAATGTAGAGCCCTATAAAAGTAGCCCATAATGAATATATGGGTGAAATCTCATCCGGTGATTCCGCACATGAGCCACTGCAAGATAACTGAAAAGAAGAAAACAGAAAAGGACAAAAGGCAATAGTAGCATAAGATCCACTGCAATACGTAAAATTAAAATGTCAAACGGAATAACCCAAATTATACCTCTCCATAAATAACCCATTTAGACAAGAGTGGATAATCACTGGCAGACCCAACTGGAGCAAACCATGATGAACAAACCTGGTCTTTCAACTCATTCATGCGCAGGAATTTTGCAAGCCATGTGTTTCGTTCTTGCTTTTTCCAGAATGAAAACCAACCAGAAAATCTCCTCTCAAAAGTTTTTTCCCTCAGAATAGCACGATTTCCACAGTGGCTATAAAATACACANTCTCCTCTCAAAAGTTTTTTCCCTCAGAATAGCACGATTTCCACAGTGGCTATAAAATACACAGCAGGCTATGCTTATGACCTACGCAAAGAAGAGGATAGAAAGACAAGTACCAGGATAAACATTTTGAAATTAAAACCTACAATACTGAGCATTTCGTTTAAATTATTGATGTCTTAAGGACTTACAGCACAATTTTGAAGAATTGTCAGGATCTCAGGCCTCTTTCCGGCTACACGAGAAACAAGACCAACATACCAAAGGCCAAGGAATATAACATGGAAAACAAGAAGAAACAAAATGGATGAGACATAAATGGTCAAAAACAAAGACAGATTCATCCTCATATCCACTCCCATTGATTGAAAGCTGGGAAGATGATATAGAGCTGCCACTAAAATCCAGGCTATATACCTGCGAGTAAAAAGCCCTCAATGAGTAGTTCTCATCACCTTGATCTTAGTAATCCCTGATGATATAACAAATGTGTATGTATATCCATGCATACAGATTTAAGAACACAGCATTGGGTGAAAAACTTACCAGCGACTAAAATTTGAATAGCTTGGTTTAATTGTCTTTCCTACAAATGGAGACGAAAAGAAATAGAAAAAACCAAGCAGGCAGGCATACATAGACCACCATTGTATATTGCTATCTAACTTCTGGATGAGAGTGTGCATATTATCCGACGATATAAAAAATAGGCAACCCACAACTACGGCAATAATGGCATGACGTGAATGCTCGTGTGGGTAAGGATATGTATGAGTTAAAATTGTCCTCACTGTCTCCATATTAAGAGTGTCTAGCAATCCAACAGATTGCCTATCAGACCCCATTAAGTAATCTTAACTTATGTCACTTCACTTGATTCTAATTCTTGCAAATGAAATCCACTCCGCCAGCACCAAATTCACACTGGACACCAGCTCTTCAAACCTGAATACAAATAAAAATTTATACATATAAGCAATGGAGACCAGATCTTCAAATAAAAAATAATAAGCACACATGTTTTAAATTTTCGAACAAGTCAATTTGTTCATCCAAAATGTGGTGGAAAAGAAGATGACAAATCATCAAAATCTAAGCGTAGATCTTAATCTTAAAAAGACGCAGTTACAAGTAAATAAAAAAGAACATTCTTTGCACAGTCAATGCACCAACCTAATGGAAATTCATGTTCTAAGAATACTCCAAGCAGGGTTTATGCTGATTGTTTCTACCAATCAAAACCTCTGATTAGGAAAAAGGGCAATATAATTAGCTAAACGGAGAGGAAAAACAGACTCATATCATTGCCAATCATTACAGCAAGTCTGCAACAACTATTTCTATATGAGATTATTTGAATGTTCTATTAAAACTATCCAAGTGAAGATAGTTAACTGAGATGCTTATCAAGACTATATGACAGCATATAATAGCAACTGGTTTGACCTTCTATTAGATAGAAAATCTCACTGAAATAGAAATGCATACGCACATTCATATGTGTACCCCGGATATCAGTTGAACACAGAATTCAGTTTTAGACAAAATTAGGGCCAAATCAAGCAAAAGAAAAGCTAGGTTTTCACAGAAGATTTTAAAATTTTAATGTCTGGCACAACCACTACACTCGAATCAATAAACAACCCANTTCATATGTGTACCCCGGATATCAGTTGAACACAGAATTCAGTTTTAGACAAAATTAGGGCCAAATCAAGCAAAAGAAAAGTTAGGTTTTCACAGAAGATTTTAAAATTTTAATGTCTGGCACAACCACTACACTCGAATCAATAAACAACCCGATCATCAACTAACTATAAACAGCGCTTCAAAAGTTTTAAGAAACTAACCCAATATAGAGAAAGAGCGAAAAAGACAGAAATAATGACAAAGTTAGAGAGAGAGAGAGAGAGGTACCTGAAAGACGCAAGAGAAGGAGGAGTGAAAGAGAAGGAAAAAGGAGCATGTANATAAACAGCGCTTCAAAAGTTTTAAGAAACTAACCCAATATAGAGAAAGAGCGAAAAAGACAGAAATAATGACAAAGTTAGAGAGAGAGAGAGAGAGAGGTACCTGAAAGACGCAAGAGAAGGAGGAGTGAAAGAGAAGGAAAAAGGAGCATGTAGGTTTATGTTTTATATTATGTTTACATAAATGAATTATGAAATAGGTGAATTATCGGACAATGTTGGCATCATCCGAGAATGTAAGCGAGGAACCAATCCCATAAAATGGCATATTCCTTGTACTTCCACAGAGAACAACCGGCATCTGTTCGACTGAGAGAGAGAGAGANAATGAATTATGAAATAGGTGAATTATCGGACAATGTTGGCATCATCCGAGAATGTAAGCGAGGAACCATTCCCATAAAATGGCATATTCCTTGTACTTCCACAGAGAACAACCGACAGAGAGAGAGAGAGAGAGAGAGAGGACTTAATAGAGTTGTATTCAAATTGCAAATGTCAGTCGCATTCCACCACTACGATGATGACAAAGAAAAAGATTGCTTGTAGATTGCGAAAAACAACTTCCCCCCGCATCCTTTCCATTTTTCAGTGCCGTTTGGAACATGTTGACACNGTCAGTCGCATTCCACCACTACGATGATGACAAAGAAAAAGATTGCTTGTAGATTGCAAAAAACAACTTCCCCACGCACCCTTTCCATTTTTCAGTGCCGTTTGGAACATGTTGACAGTCACCGACCATGTCAGTGCTGGGGAAGCAACCCATTTGATCCACAGCCCATTTGATCCACAACCCATTTGACCCAAAAAAGTTTTTTTGGGTCAAGATCCATTGGAGACTAATGGCCTAGAACAAGATGCTTTCCTGGTGGAAAATCTAAAAGCCCAATTGAAGTTTAAGTCCAACTCTACTCGAACTGGGCCTGTTAGTTTTCATTTCACAATCACATATTATGCTGTATTGNGAGACTAATGGCCTAGAACAAGATGCTTTCCTGGTGGAAAATCTAAAAGCCCAATTGTAGCTTAGGTCCAACTCTACTCGAACTGGGCCTGTTAGTTTTCATTTCAGCACAAGCACATATTATGCTGTATTTNCCCAAAAAAGTTTTTTTGGGTCAAGATCCATTGGAGACTAATGGCCTAGAACAAGATGCTTTCCTGGTGGAAAATCTAAAAGCCCAATTGAAGTTTAAGTCCAACTCTACTCGAACTGGGCCTGTTAGTTTTCATTTCACAATCACATATTATGCTGTATTGTAGGCCCACACTAACAAATGTGTATATTTGATATAAAATTGATACGAAATTAATGCATATGAATTTAGTTTTAATGAATTCAAATCAAAACTGAATTAACCAATTAAACCTATTTGATAAATAGCCTGACACACAAACTTCTAACATACAACAAAAACGCACTATTAAATTTAATAATACCCTAGTTAGTCATCGCTAACAAGTCCAGTTATAGATTNAATTCAAATCAAAACTGAATTAACCAATTAAACCTATTTGATAAATAGCCTGACACAAACTTCTAACATACAACAAAAACACACTATTAAATTTAATAATACCCTAGTTAGTCATCGCTAACAAGTCCAGCTATAGATCTAACTCTGGACATTACGATTAGAATGTGTATAATTTTAAACGCACAAACTCATAGTTGTTGGATTGATTTTTAAATGAATTGCATATAAATTATCAAATTTTAACATGACATAATGCTACCATCACACGACTCGTTCTCAACCTAATTTAATATAATTGTCAACTCTCATGCCCCATGAATTTTAATGATCATTTGTAACACTAAATCACTTGACACAACACAAACCCACAAATATAAATATACAAATTATCTTATTAGAGAGATCATCACCAAATTTAGTTATCATTAATGGAGACTCGAGATGAACACAAGGGTACAAATCTAAACTCATGTATTATTTTTTTATAATGAAATAATCCTTAGGTTTGGATTCACAAACTCAAGGCTATGACTAAATTTTAGATGAGGTATATANTAATGGAGACTCGAGATGAACACAAGGGTACAAATCTAAACTCATGTATTATTTTTTAATAATGAAATAATCCTTAGGTTTGGATTCACAAACTCAAGGCTATGACTAAATTTTAGATGAGGTATATGTGAATTGATCAAATTCAAAGACAATATAATCCCGATTTGACGTATTCTTAGCCTACCTCGCCTCAACCATCGATTTTTACGGCTTTATGCCATTGAGGTTTGCCTCTAAAAAGTGATTTTTCAGAACATTTTCTAACCTGTAAGATTGAAATTTGGTTTAGACCATTGAATGTGCCTCTATGGGATGGCATTGGAGATAACACTAGCTTTTACCCAAAATCAAACATTTCAAGGTTGCCAAATGCTCCTAGAAAGTGCTTTCCCTCTTTCAAACAAAGTCATGATTGCTCAATGCCCCCTCTTGCACTCTAAATGCCTTGGATACACTTGGATGTTTCAAGCAAAAGTATCTATTCTCCCTCTTTCTTTTTCTTTTTTTTGTTATGGTTGTTTTAGTCTGTGCCGACTATTCTTTCGAATTTTAAATTAATCATTGCAATTCGATTCAATTTATGAATATATCTTCTAAAGAATAAAGGTAACTGATCCTTAAAAAGTATAAAAAATATCGAACCTAATCTCTTATTTACACGAGAACAAACTTGACCACAATAACATTTTAGGTAAGTGCCTGTTCTATTTGATTCAACAGTTTATGCTTTTTCTTTCGAGTGGTTAGGAAGACTTCCCCAACTTGGGGAGCCAACCAATTCCACGAACTGTCCTTTTCTTCAAGAATCTACTCAACACAAAGAACGATAATGGTTTATACGCGGAACAAATGAGAATATAATTTGGAATTTGGGTCTTCTTAAATTTGAGAATTTTAGTTTAACGATTAAAATATTCAAGTCAATTTACACGTATTTTGATTAATGTTTTTCTCGATTCGGTCAAAATCATATCATCTACGCTGAGATTACGACATTCATAAGAAATAAACTTCTCATAATTTGACCTTAAGGAGTTGTTAATATTCAAACTCAGAACGTCTAAGTTTATAATACGTTCATGATATTTTTGTATATAGTGAGTTTCATTTATAATCCTAACATGGGTTTTAAAATAGAATAAGACAGAGAAAAAATATATTAGATGGAATGATAGTATACTAAATTGATGGGTCTTATTGTTGGGTTCCTCTTATGAATGGATTCCACCATTACAACTCAATTCGTCTCAACAAATTCTTATCTCAACTAGTTAAGCTCGGCTACATAAATTTTAGTTAGTTGTTGTCAACGGCGCTATTTGTGCCAATTTGGCTCCAGCCTGTGCATCTTGTTATTCATAGCTAGTCCTACCATTGACAACTTGCACAACTATCATGAATGACAAACAATATGTATTGGAGGACGCATTCATCACAATAAGATTATTGTATCGAAAAATAATTTTTTTATTATCACACTGAAAGTGATTTGTAATCGAGTTTTATTAAATTAAAAGAAAAGAAAAGAAAACTTCACATGTATCATATTTGTTTTTTTTTTTTAAAAAAAACAAAGTACTGTATCAATTTTTTTGTACCAAAAGATGTTATGTCACTTCCAAAAAAATTCTCTTTCATGAGGGCTGAATCCGGACTTACTATATCAGCACATGAAATGTGCAAGTTGTTGCGGGTACACAGTAACTCCCAGCAACTTTTGAGGAGAGAATCAAGGAGGGCCAAGCTCCTTCCAAAATTCTCATTGGATTTGTACCACAAACGTCTCTCTCACTCTCTCACCAAGTGGGTTTTGTAAGAAGAAATTTTTGTGCAGGTTTAACACACTATTTAATAGTATCGGGTGATTTATATAGTCAAATAAAAATTGTTCATTTACAATAAAAGTTAGTATTAATCACTGTTAGATTTTTTTTATATATAAATAAAAAAAAAAAACTTAACTCGTGCATTTAACATAATAATTTTTTATTTAGTATGAATACTAAATAATATTATCACTTTGTGCCTGTTTGGTATATTTTTTGGGTGGGATTTGGATTGCTTATCCAAACTTGAGTTTGACTAAAGATGGAATTCAATATTCAATGTTGTTCATACTCATGTTTGATATGCGCAAGGATATATGACTATTATGATAATATATTTATATTTAAATTACAATTGTACCTTTTAACTAATAAAATCCAAACATAAGTATGGATATATAAGGAGTATAAATGTCATTTGAATGTAAAATCCTCAAACTCACATATTTGAATGTAAAACCCCTAAACTCACATATGAAACTCACCCCCTCATAGGTTTCGTGAAACTCATGAATAAGGGTTTCATGACGGCCCGGATTTTAAACCCTCGGCTAAATCCTCTATGTGGCACACCATTAGGGGTTTCTGAATGGGAAAGGGGTAGAATAATAATTTCACTTGTAGAGCCTTTTGGCAAACTTGGACCAACAAATTTTCTATATTGTGAGGTGGTGTTCCCTCGTATTGGTATTATACCCATATATAGTGAAGCATAAAAGCAGAGGATAATATTTAGGAAAAATTTCATCTACATCCCTCTCTAAATAGATCTATCTTTAATGACACCTCCTATTTTTTTTGAAATTTCACTGACCTACCCTATCAGTCAGTGTTGACAGCTAACAGACGTGACGAAAACACACATTTTACCCATGAATTTTATAAAGATTTACATATTCACCAATTATTTTTCATTAAATTATATATAAATGCATATTCCTATTTCTTATAAGTATGGATATGTTTGTTTGCTGGATATATGAGGTATGAGAAAGTGGGATAGAGTAAGTAGTACCTGAGACCCACTTATTATCTTGTTTGGTTGGAATTTTATGTGTGGTACTATTTTTCGGGTTATAATACCGATCTGGTTTGTACAATAACCTTTATCCCTTGTACATGATTTTAATGAATACCACCTACCAGGTGGTATTATTTGCCAGTAGCTTGGTATAAATCCACCAATGGTACAAGCAAGAAAAATAACACAAATACCCTCCTATGTAGAGCTCACATATAAAAAAATTATTTTGAATTTTTTCCTTATATTATGTGTAAGTGTACTATGTCACCGGTTTTTTTTTTTAATTTTTTTTTAAAAAAATTATTTTAAATTTTTTTTTTGTATCATGTTTAAGCGTACAATGTCAGCGATTTTTTTTTTTAATTTTTTTTCTAAAAAAATTTTATTGAATTTTTTCGTTGTATTATGTTTAAGTGTACAGTGTCATTAATTTTTTTTTTAAAAAAAATTATTGTGAATTTTTTTATTATATTATGTTTAAGCGTACAATATTATTGATTTTTTTTATAGTGTCACCAATTCATAATACTAGATTTTTTATTTTTTATGTGGATTTTTTACATTATTCTTCACTGATTCATGCTAGGACCAATAACTTGGGTTCATTGTCACGTTGTTTTTGGAGTTAGGTGATTTGGTTGTTGAGGCATGAGAGAGAGAAAGGGAGTGAAACAAGGGTTTCATGAAAAATAAGAAAGAGTAAAATTGTTATTTAATAAAAGTTTTGGGATGACATTAGCACTTTTCTGATAGTCAGTAACGGGTGGTTACGGTAAGAGGTCTAGGCGAAGAGAGAATATAAATTAAAAGAAAATGCAATGAAATTTCAAAAAAGACAAGGATTAGCGTTGAAAATAGACTTATTTAAAGGGAATATAAATGAAATTTTTCCTATTATTTAGTGGATGGAAGATTCACAATACAGTGGAATAGACACTAAAACACCACATTCAAGAATATTCACACGTCTATTTCTTTTGAAGAAGACTCTTTAGATTTGATGTATAAGCACCATTCACTATTCCCCTAATTTTCTTCCCTTGTTTTTTTTAACACCTCACGTACACTTTGATTAATCTATTTTCTGGTCTAATTAAAAATAAGTTATTCACGTTAAGATTAAGATATTCACGAGGGATTTATCCCTCATGGCCTGACCCCTTGGAATTGTTAAGATTCAAACTCAAGACATCTAAGTTTATAATTTGTCTATATTATTGCTTGAATTACTTTGAAATATTAAAAGACTAAAATGCCACAAAACATAATAATGCAGATTAACCATGCACTTTATTTACAAGATTTTTTTGGCAACTCTCTCGTCTATATATACCCATGCAAGAGAAACCTAACTTGCAAGATCCACACCCCCACCCAACCCCCTAGCATCTCCTCCCTCTTCATCATTTGATTTTATACATTTTTATCTGCCTTCTCTTCACTAATGGCCAAAGGCAAGGTCACTTGTGCTTTCCTTCTTGTACTAATTCTCTCTCATGGAATTCTGTCCAGTGAGGGAAGAGAGTTGAAGGCAGGGAAGAACCGTGAACGTAACAAATGTGCTTTTACTGATGAGGAAAACGGAGAAAAAATGGATTTAAGCAGTGACCATTACGGTACGTTGCCATGCAACGTTAGAGAACTCAAAGCAGAGAATCAACACGCTGGTGCTGCACCTGGTCATGGCCATGGTGGAGATGTTCTTGTTAGAGAAGCCGGAGAAGATTACCGCAACACGACGCCCGGCCACAGCCCGGGGGCTGGCCATGGTTATGTACCTGGAAGCAGCGATCCATAAGCACGCTATAGATTCATATAGGAGTTTCATGTATGGAAGCCGTACGGGTATTATCTGTGAAGTGTTAACTGTGTGGTTAAAAAGGAGTTGTTATTATAGCCTATGTAAGTGTAGCTTCATTAGGATTAAGCTTTTATCTCTGCATGATTACTGTATGTATGGCTTTCCTTTGGCTTGTTAAACCTCCATAAAGTCAGACAATAGTACTTCTTGTGTTTATTTCTATTGCTATGCAGCTTATCAGTGAATATATGTTATTGTTAGCAATGGCTCGGGGACGGATTTAATTTGTTGATATAATGATGTGTCAAGTGATTGTTTAAAAAAAATGTGTAATATTGAATACAACAGTGATACTATGTCAACAATGCTAACGTGGTATCGCCACCAATAATAAAACATCAAGTGGGTAAAGTGAACTCCACAGTTATTTTCCTTCATGGAGAAAGAGTGGGTAATTATTTGTTTATATGGAGAGTTGATTAATAATTTTAGTGGGGTCCGTTTATTTATTTTTTTTGATATTATTGATTGGTGATACCACGTCAGCATTATTACGTGGTATCACCGTTGTCATGAATATCTTTTTAAGTTATAATTACAATAATACTATTAGACTATGTTATTGCCACATTNGAATTAGAATCATTTGGTGACTTCGGGGTCATTCCACAATGAATGTTGAAAACCCTCCTTCACTAGTTAGAATACAATTTTGTTTGATTCTTTTGTTGCCAGTTTTTTTTCTTATTTGAAGCACTCTGAAATTTTACAGCCGAGAGCTGATTTTGGGAACCAGTGGACGGGGCCATACTATGGAGGGCTGTTCTATGATGGTTATACTTATGCTCAACCACCACCTCATTACCCGAGCATGTATGCTGCAGCAGCTGGAGTGTATGGGGCTTATCCCGTGTATGGCACCCACCAACAAGTAAGCTGAACAAACAGCCCGAGACGACACAGTCATTCAGAGTATTTGAATAACATCATGTTAGAACGGGCACACCTGCTCCATTTCTCTCCGGTGTGCTTGGGTGTGTACAATTTTAATCATCCCCATCAAATGTAGAGGGGAACCGAATTTTGACTACATGAGGTAGTTCTCTAGCATTTGATTAAACATATGTTTAAAAGTGACTTGAACATGATTTCTTCTTTATAGGGATAAATAATGTTGCTAGGTATGTGATGGCATGCTTCAAAAGTTGAACTGCGTTCTGCTTTCCTAACTAATATGACCTTTGGTTTTGTTTGGTGAATGGGTGTGGTATTAAGCAATTAGTTGCTCTCTAACCACCCCCCCCAAAAAAAAAAAATTAAATAAATAAATAAAGTTGTGTGTGTTTTTTTTTGTGGCTATTTAAGAAAGGTGATATAAGAGAAAATTGTAGTACAATATTTATCTCTTACGAATATCTTAGTTTTGGCGTATAGTTTGCCTTTGACCTGACTAAGAAATTGATTAGTCGAAATGCGCGTAAACTGACTTAGACTTCAACATTGAATCAAAAAAAAAAACTTTATCTAAGAACTATTCCTATCATATAGTGCTGCATTTTGTGGCTTGATTGGCCAATCCAAGTTCCAATTCTTCTCTTCTATTGCTTTGTATGAAAAAAAGTGACTCTGGATTTTGTTGACAGTCACAAAAGATGCATTGGTTGCTCGATAAAATAATCATATAGTCTTGTCATTGATATATTGTTCTGTTCAAAGATTTAAATTTTGTTTCTTTTCCGCCGAAATAATTGAAATACTTTTCGTTTTTATAGATACCGAAACGAGATTGAATTTGTAAATTTTTATATTTTGGTATGTTTTGAATATTTTTTCAATTTTTAATTTTTTTTCTCTATTTCTGTTTTTGAAATATTTTTGTGCAACAATTCTATTTTTAAGGTGATCAAGATTTTACACTAAAATAAAATTTTGATCTTTAGTGTTGTTTAAACGCTCGATCTTAGTATTTTAAACAAACTGAAGAAAAAGAATGGAGAGATTATATAGCAATTTTTGTTCCATTTTCACTGCATTCACCTAAATGTTTTTGTAGAAAAGGGGATATTAGACTGATATTAAAAAAAAAAAGGAAAAATTTTGGTCACAACCTTTGTAGTTTATCATATTTTTAAAGGTATGTATTCTATTATTTAAAATATTACTAACACCTTTTTTTGTTTATATTTAAATATCACTAACACTTCTTATAAATAAACCACTACTTCTAACAAAAAAAATTATTTAAAATATCAAAATTATTCCTATATAAACTCCAAACAATCTTTCTACATATTAAAATTTGAGATGATTAAAATTTATTTTTTTACATATTAAAATTGGATTCGAGCTAATTAAATTTTATTTTTTTTAAGTATTAAAATTCGAGCCTATTATTTTTTTTAATGTATTAAAATTCGAGTTAATTTGAGGTTTACCTAAATTGTTGGTGTCAATTAAAATTTATAATTCTTTATGTATCAAAATTTGGACCGATTAAAATTAAATACGAGTTGATTAAAATTTGATTTGAATTGATTAAAATTTTAAATTTTAATACGTAAAAAATATAATTTTTAATCGATTAGAATTTTAATATGTAAAAAATAAATTTTAATTAACTCAAATTAAGTTTTAATCAGTTTGAATTTTAATACGTAAAAAAATTTAAAAAATAGAGAGGATTTTATTGAAAATATGTCTATGTAGAGGGGATATGGATGCAATTTTTTTTAAATCATGGGCAATTTAGTAAAATTACATTCTAATTAACAGTTTTAATTTGAAAAAAAGTGTTGAGGAAAATTTAGAAAATAGAAGATGTGTTCTTAAAGATATAGTAAATTAGAAGATGTGTGATTAAAATTTTCTCTAAAAAAAATGGTGGCATAGTTGGTGCTTTTAATTTTATTTTTACTCATTTAAAATTTAATTTTATTTAGTATATTAATCCTACATCTTTTAATATTTGTGGTCCCATTTTCTAATAATAAAATTCATAGTTATCATATGATAGTTTTTGGTGAAACAATAAGGCTATTTCATTATAACTTGGAAGTCATGGGTTTGAGTCGCAAAAATAATTTTTTTGTTTGTATAAGTAAGATTATGCATATTTAATCCTCTTTAGACTCAACAAGAAGGATTAGTGACATTATTTATTGAGCACAAATATGCCCACAACACATAATAACACAATTTTTTTTTGTTTTATTTTTTAACTAGTTATTACCTGTACCAGAAGACACATAATAATAAAAAAATTACTAATAATAAATATATTTGTATGCACACTTACAATTAAATCACAACCATAAAAGAAAGGAGAAATGAATTTAACCATTAGTTGTAGTGGGAGTGAACAGTGGTTAGGATAGTGGCAGTGGTGGTGCTAGTGATGATCGTGGGAGGGGGGTGGACGGTAGGGGGTCGTGATGATAGGGATGATAGAAGGACAACGGTGGTGGTAGAGTGATGGTGGGATGGAGGTGACAATGGGTGGTGGTGGTGGCGTGGGGGGGTGGTGGTAGTGGGGATGGTGGTGGTGGGTGGCAACGATCGTGACAGTAAGGGATAGTGGTGGCAATGATGGTGACAACGGTCGTGATGGTAAGAGACAGTGGTGGTAGTTATTTTGACAGAGTTTAGTGGTGGTGAGATAGCGACGATGATGGTAGTGGTGGGGGGCGGTGGTAGTGCTGATAATGGTGGTGAGGCGATGGGTAGGGGTGGTGATGGTTGGGTGGCGACATTGGTGGTGGCGGCGACAGTGGTGGTTGTTATGGCAGAGGTAGGGTGGGGTGGCAACAACAATGGTGGTAATGGTAATGATGATGGTGGTGGGGTGGCAGTGGTGATGGTGATGGTGGTAGAGTAGTGGGGTAGTTCCAAATACTATTATTTTTTTTAAAGTATTTATAAGAAGTTAAAATTCTTAAAAATATTTTTAAAAAATCATTCCAAACACACATTTAGAGACATATTTTTTCTATTGAATTTAGAGTGTTAATATTAACTGTTAGATTAACTTTAAAATAAAATTTAAAGAGATCTCAACTGCGAAAAATAAAAGTAATTTTATTTATCTTTTTAAGATTTGAATTATATTATTCTTTATTATATATATTTTTTTAAGAATCAAAGAGGTGATGAGCCTGTTACAACATGGGGGTCACAAAAGCGACTATTCAATTTTTTTTTTTGGTCAAACATTATTACGGGGAGAAAGATGACTAGACTCATATTATGACTTTAACGTCCAATAGTAGAGACGATGATGATTAGATCAACTGTTAACTTTAACTTATTCAAATGTAAAAAATCAAATATATATTTTAAAGAAAATAATAAATAAAAATAAAAATACACATATTAGGATTAATTTAATGAACATTCCCTTAAAGATCCATTAAGACCGGTCATGAGCTCGGTATTTTTTGACGGATCCGCCCAACCTATTCGTTACATGTTTGATCCAATTGGCTTAACAAGAACTATGGATCCTAAAGTAATAAAAAAATAGGATAAATTTTTTAAGATTAAAGATTAAAAAATAGGATAAATACCTTCTCAATTATGATATTTGTTTTAAATTGTCTCCAAAACTTTTAATTATCTTAATTTATCTACTGAATATGTCATTTATTTCAATTGACCCCTTTTGTTAAAATTAATTATTTAACCATTATTTTTTATAAAATCTATCTCAATTATTAGTTAATCTTAGCAGTAAGGATCAATTGATACATAGTATATAGTTCAAGAGATAAAAATAATATTATAAATTTACTAAATAAAGATCATATTTATAATAATAAAACAGATCATTCTACTTTGAGTTGTTTAAATTTCTCAGATAGAAAAGTATAACAACTTAGATTGTTTAGATTCAACTGATTTATATTATAATTTATTTTTAAAATTTTTTAAGTACGATAACTCATTTAAATTTTAATTTTTAAACTGTTTAACCATGATAATTCATTTATATTTAAATTTTTAATTACAGTAATTCACTTAAATTTAATTTTTTAACTATAATTGACGAGTCCAAATTTAGAGCAAGTCTGGGCCAGTTAATAGGTTGAGCCCAAACCATCAAAAGGGCAAACCACGCTTAACTTATAGCTTCGGTCCAGTCCAAAGCCCAGTAGTCTAAGAAGAGTGAATGTGGAAGAGTAATCACTGAGATAACCATTACTCTAAGGTAGTGTCTATCCCCAACTGTAGCTATCTTCTCCGATAAATTTGTAGCTTGACCTTCACGTCACCAACTCAACTAGGTTTCTATGCCTATAAATTATAAACCCTTTACACATGGGGGTAGATCTTAGGCACGTCACCTTAATCGTACTCTTGTTCTTTCTCTCTTAGTATTTTTTACTTTTTCATTAATAGAGTTATTTGACCACCGTTATTAATAGAGTTCTCTGGTTATAGTTGTCGCCTTTAGTGGTTTGGTTACCCATACTGAACCACCCAATATGTTTCTTATTATTAATTATTTCATTAATTGTTCTACACCATACATTCAACTGATTTGATTATGCATAATCAAAGTTGTGCATTATCAATAATAACTTAATCCATAATTTATTTTTTTTTTGAAAAGAAACAGATCAACATATAACATTACGTTGGAAAATTCTGATTACAATCACTAGATAATAAAGCCTGAAGCTCTGAGGGAGGACATCACCCAATTCAACGGAATCGAGTTAGATAATTTCATAGCTGCAACCCAATGAGCGGCTTTGTTAAGAGCCCTTGGCCTATGAAAAAAATCTTAAGTTAAGAGATTTAACATAAACACAAATATCACTAACAAAAGCACAAATATCCCATGGGGGAGCATCTTCAGAAATACTTAGCTTGATCACTTCCATATTGTCACTAGAGACAGTGACATCGCGAAGTCCAGAAGAAGAAGCCAAGAGATAGGCTTCTCTTACAACAGCCACTTCAGAATATAAGCTGGAAACAACTGGAATCTGTTTGGCAAAACCTTCCATAATTGTCCCAGTTGAACCACGCAGGATCACCCCTATAGCCGCAGAACCTTGCTTGAACGCGCCATCACAACACAGAGAAAAGGGGATGGAAAAATCAGAAGGCTGCCCCTGATGAAGATGCAACACCGCCTACTGGCTACTGCATCTCACGCTTGTTCATAACAGCATATCTCACTCCTCCATGTTAGTTCTCTCCTGGAACTGTCAGGGAGTGGGACGACCTCAGATAGTTTGTAATTTGAGAGGGTTAGTTACCACACATCGTCCGACAATAGTCTTCCTTATGGAGACTAAGAATGAATCACAACAATTGGAAAGAATGAGGAAGAGTACTAAAAATGAATCACAACAATTGGAAAGAATGAGGAAGAGTCTAAACTTCCCAAATGGTGAGTATGTTGAATCAAGAGGTCTTGTTGGTGGTTTTGGCATTATGGTGGAAGGATGATATATTGTTGCGTGTTACTCTAAAGAACAAAAATTTGTTTCATGTTGTGGGTAGAAGGCAAATTTCTTCACTGGAATGACAATGTACCTTTTTGNCGTGTTACTCTAAAGAACAAAAATTTGTTTCATGTTGTGGGTAGAAGGCAAATTTCTTCACTGGAATGACAATGTACCTTTTTGTATGCTGATACTGATTTCGAACGAAGGCAACAAGTTTGGAAAAGATTGAAATGTGTTGCCTCTTCCACTGATGGGGCTTGGATGGTCATAGGGGATTTTGATGTTATTGGATCCCTGTTGGAGAAGGATGGGGGGAGAGTTGGTAGGGTCAATAAGATGGAAGACTTACAAGGCCTAATTTGTGAGTGCAATCTTATAGACATGGTTTTAAGGGGCCAAGATTTACATGGTCAAATAATAGGCCGGGGAATGCAAATGTGTAAGAAAGGTTGGACAAAGTCTTGGCAAATCCAAATTGGTGTTTATGTTTTCCCCATATGCAGGTTATTCATGAGGCAAGGATGAGATCGGATCATTGTCCTATCATCATAAATGTGGAACCAGTTTTAAAGAAGAAGAGAGCTCTTTTCAAATTTGAAACTTTTTGGATGGAAGATGTTCAGTGTGAGGAGGTTATTAAAAAGAGTTGGGAGGAGGGGAGGAATGGCTCTATGATGTTTGCCATGTCACAGAAGTTGGAATAATGCGGGAAGGAGCTAAAAGCTTGGAGTAGGCTGAAGTTTGCGATTGACAGAAGAATTTTATTGGAGTTAAATGATCAGCTGATTAACTTGCAAATGTTAGAGGCGTCGGAGGAGAATTTATGGAAGGAGATGAAAATTATAGCTTAAATGGATGGAATTAGGCGAAGAGAGGAGCTTTATTGGCAGCAAAGATCAAGGGTTAATTAGCTAATATCAGAGAACCAAAATACAAGGTTTTTCCACTTAACAACTATTCAGAGACGACAACGCAACTAAATCTTGAGGCTAAAGTCTGATGAAGCAAGCTGGATTAAAGATGAGGTGGAGTTGAATGATCACGTCCATAAGTACTTTCAGGGCTTGTTTTCCACTGTGGGTCACAGGGACTCTGAGGAGGTTTTAGTGAATGTGGACAAAAAAGTTACAGAGGCCATGAATCTTGAGTTATTTGAGTCGATCCAGGATGCAGAGGTGATGAATGCTGTGATGCAGCTGGGGGCACTCAAGGCCCCTGGTCCCAAGGGATTCTCAAGTATTTTTTTTCATTCTTATTGGCACATTATTGGGGATGATGTGGGTAGAGTTGTAAGGAATTTTTTTAAAGGGAGAGTTATGTTTCGGGACTTGAATAAGACTAATATTGTCCTCATCCCCAAGGAGGATTCGCCTGAACTGATATTTCAGTTTATACTTATTGCGCTATGTAATTTCTTGTACAAGGTTATCTCAAAAGTTTTAGCCAATAGATTGAAAGGTCTTATGCCTGTTTTTATTTCTCCCCAGTAAGTTGTCTTTGTCCCGTTTAGGCATATTCAAGATAGTATTGTCATTGCAAATAAAGTTCTCCATCACATGCGGTTGAAAAAAAAGGAAAAGGTTCCCTAGTTGGCTATCAAAATGAACATCAGCGAAGCGTATGACAAGATTAAATGAAATTTTTTAGAGGCTACCCTACATTAAAAAAAAATGTGATATGGGCGGTCTACTACTGATTTCATTATAAACTAAAGAATTCAGTGTGAATCTAGTGGACGCCATGAGTGGTGCCCTACGCTATGAACAGTCCAGTTTAATCGGGTCTCCCTACTAGGACGCACGTGGTGTTCTCGTAGTTTCTTTGGGGACCGAAAGTCGGTGGTTAATTAGTTTAAAGTTTAAACAATTTTATCTTAATTAGTTTAAACAAATTAGTTTAAATCAATCAATTAAGGTAAGTGGGGGCAAAAGAGGAAAGGAGTGGTTAAACTGGCAACAGCTGGACCTTGAAGCGATTCTGTGCTCCACACGTTACCCGGAGCGAGCAAAAAAATGTCTCAATTTTCTCTCTCCACTGTCTCCCTTCCTCCTCCGTCGTCGTCGTCGTCGACGTCATCTGCTCTGCAGGTTTGCAACCAGAGAATCTTTTTTCGCTCTTTCGGAGTTCAAGATTGTTATCGTTTTTCTTCTTCGTCTTCGTGTTCGAAGCCGAAAGTAGTGGTCACCAGAGAACGAGGGAAGAACGGCAAGCTCATCAATGCTTTGGTACTCTCTTCTATCTTTAATCTTTTGCAATTTATGACATTTTATTTCGTGTTCAAGTTTTTTGACTTAGAAAATAGGATACATTACTTTCATCGGATGATTTGTAGAGTTGTGTTGTAGTTAATGGTTTCTTGTACTGGATATGGATTTTGACATGGGAAGACTTCCAGTTTATCTCTCTCTAGGAATCTTTGTTGGAACTGTTGTGCTATTATTAGTTTACATTCCGTTTACGGACGAGTTGTTGCAGTTCATTAGGTTTTTGATCAAATGCGTAAGTATCGCGTGTAATCACATCTTTACCGTAAGGGAAAAGGAAAGGTAAATGAAAAGTGAATTGAGAATGAAAAATGTTGTATGGAAAATGAAGAGAATTGGTTATTTTTTCAGATGATTTTTTGAGGGAAATTGAGATTAGGAATTCGGAATAGGAGAAGAGCTGTAGTGCCTACTTAATTATTATAGTTCAGCAGTGTCGTATTCTCTTGAAGCATCACTTTTGGGGATAGGAGTGACGCTAATTTCTGGTTCTTCACGGACCAATAACCACATTATTACTTGATGGAAAAAAACAACCATATTACTAGTTAAGTGCCATGTGTTTGGTTAAGTATTCATCAGTAGATGTGCATGGTTAGTTAAATGTAATCTGTAATTAATATAGAATTTTCATATTGTCCCACAGGCCAAACATGGGATCAACTGTTTGGAGCTTCCCCTCATTCAGCACATGAAGTTGCCTGATTTGGATAGGCTTTGTTCAGTGTTAAGTGGTAAGTTCTCAGTTTCTTTAAGGTTTAACTTGGCTGAGTCATGTGAAGCTTTCGAGGTCATAGGCTGTGTTGGTGGTCACCTAAAATTAATTTGCTGAGAGACTAAATCTTTTCTTGAAGTCTTTTCTTCATTTTTCTTGCATCTTTCTGTCTTGCTTTTAAGTTTATTTGACATTACTGTTGGAACATCTTTTATATCACTTTTAGGTTCATAATCCCTGCATATGTGTAAGTTGTATGCTGAGGTCTGAATTGGTAATTTTAATGCCATAGTGCGATGTGGGCTGAATACAGTCTGTTGTCAAGGCTCTACCCTTTTGTGGTCCAATTAATGATCCAAAATTCACATGCCATTGTTTTCAAGGCAAATAAGTGGTAATACATTATGAATATTTGAGCTGCAGAATTTATTTGCTTAGTGTTTGTAGTCTTGCTTGAATGACTTGACTGTTATTCTCATTAGAGTTTCTAGTGGCATATCAACATATTTGTTAGTTTCTAATGTTTGCATTTTTTTTTTGGTTTGATTGGCAAAAAGAGGTATAAAATAATCTAGTGGATGGTTGTGCTGGAATTAGTTTCAGCTTAATGTTTATGTCAATTTGTTTTTGAAATATTGTTTCCTGAAGTTCCTTTCCCAAAAGTTTAGAACTCTTTATAAAACCATTTGTTTTCAATAATAGGTATGTCTATAAAATCATCTGTTTTATCATTGTTGCAGCAGACACTGCATTTGACTGGATCATCATAACTTCACCTGAAGCGGGTTCGGTTTTTCTTGACGCTTGGAAGTAAGGATTAAACATACTTGCAGAGTACTATACCTTAATGTGTTGTTATATTCCTACTTTTAATAATCTTCATTTCTAAACTGGAAATGGAATTTGTAATATAATTTGTCCTGTGGTTTTGATATTTTGTTATGATTGACATTGATTATTCATCTTTTGGGATGTGATCATTTTTAACCTGCAGATTATAACAACTCTAAGGTCAACCTAGCTTTGTATATGAGTGGCATGATTTAGTTATTGATTGCATAGTTTGATTTATGTTTTTTTCTTTCTTGTTTGCAATGAAGAGTAAGAACAGTTGCTGTGTTTTTGGAAATCTTGTAATTTGATGCAGTCGTACTAAGAATTTTTTTTTTTGGTTATATATCAACTCCATGGATCCTTAGTTCTGTGACTCTAAAAAAACTAGAAATGCATGAGCAAGAAAACAGAGCAATCGCTTGTACAGAGATGTTAGATAAATTCTGTTGGATCTTCATTGGGCTTTCTTTAATAATTGTGTGCATAAAATCTACAGGATAACAAGCAATTCTCTATCTAAAAAGTGATGGTCATAATGCTTTATCCAAATAGGCATTGTATGATCCTGTATCCAGTCCACTACGTAAAGTTCAATGAGGTGTCTTAAAGAGATATTTCTTGAACTCTTTGGTCCTTTTTCGTCTTAATGACTGATTATCACCCACATTTGATGAACTTATTCTAACTTTTGATCCATAGAGCTGCTGGAACCCCGAATGTTAAAGTAGGTGTGGTGGGAGCTGGTACAGCTAGCATATTTGAGGAAGTTGCACAGTCGTCAAAGCAATACCTCGATATTGCGTTTGCGCCATCAAAAGGTATGTGTGCATGCCTTCCTATTTCCCATAGGGAGCACATGGATGCCATTTCTCATTTTCTGTTGCTTGTCTTCCCTTTTGCTTCTTTTGGTTGGCTATAATACCAGAAAAAAGCACCTCTCATTTGGAATCTCACCGCTACTTGCTGCTGGAATGAAATTATGATTCCATTTGTAAATTGTTTTTCAGCGATCGGTAAGGTTCTGGCTTCAGAGCTTCCAAAGCATGGGAATAAAAAATCCACCGTCTTATATCCTGCTTCTGCAAAAGCTAGCAGTGAGATCGGTATGTGCTATATAGATCTGGTTTGGTTAGATGTATTACGTGGTTGCTTGCTCTCTCTCTCTCTCTCACACACACACTCACACACACACACTATATTACAAGATGTAGGTCTTGTTTTGGTTACATCTGTTTATATTGAACGGTATTGTTAGTATCATGTTAAATGATATCACAAGCAGGATCAACCAGTAAATTGCTTAGCTACACTAAGCAAGGATTGCTTGTAGGGAAAGAGGAATGTGCTATGACATGAAAACATAAAAGTCTTCAATCTGCTGACTGTCTTTGAAATAATCCACCAAAGTAAATTAGTAGCTAAATTTTATAGTCAAGCATTCAGGAAAGGATATTCTAGCAAGAAAGAATACATGAAGATAAATTTCTTGAAGCTACTACCCCAATTTGCTTGTAAAGATGAAAGTAACATGGCTACATCAGCCAGATATGGGCAATTATATTGAAGTTGATAGCTATCCTTATCATGTTAAGATGAGAAATGCTGATATGAGAAAGTCAGAAATGGGATAAGGGGATCACTATCAATTTGGCCAACAGTTGAGTTGTTATGTTTCCATTCAAAACATCCTGAAAAAGGTGTGAAACATACTTGAATGATCTAAATTATACGACCTTGTCAATTATAGTCACCAGTACAGTTAAAAGATGGCATCCAATTTTTTTCCCTTTTTCACCCATAAGGGGGACATCAGAAGACTGAACCGCAGATACACTGAAATTTTTCACAGCCTACTATTAAGAAATAATGGAAAAGAAAAAGTAGAAGAATTGAGGAGAAAATTGTGATTTCCATAAAATATGACTTTACATGGTTGAGCGGTAAAATGTTCTCTACCAAGATATGTACTCCTTGGGAACAGATGACATCTATGTTGGAAGGAGAACCGCACACAAAATACATCAAACTGAATTAGAAATAGGATTCCCTAAAGTTTTTCTTATTCTCATTTAACCTCTCCCCGCCATCCTCTCTCCAAATTACATCTAAAAGACATTTACGACTGGCATATTATATGATATGGGCTTTGCTGTTTATTCTTTTCCTGCTGCTTCACCAGTAATTTATGTGCCATCTTTGGACTGCGATTTTCTGGATGGTGATTCACAGTATTATAAAAAATTGTCCATAATATTTCTCAATTGCATGGAGTTTGGTCAGTATGGTGTTGGACTGCTCAGCTAGAATGTGAACAAACATTATGGCTTAATCTGTCAGCTCAACTAAACTCAGTTGACGACGCCTCATCCCAAAGCCTTGTCCCAACTACTTAAAGTATCATGGTAGTGATAATGGTGATTTTTCATACATAAAGTCATAAAGTGCGAGTCAAATTTCTCGTTTTGGTAAGTTCTTGTCCTAGTTTATGGTTAGGAACTTAGGATAAACATACACCTAGCTCAAGGACTGTTACATGTTTATGTTCTGTATTTGAGCTGTTAGTTTCGTTATTTCATTTTATGTTCTCTATATGTCATTAAAAATAAATTGAAATAATGTTGAGATAATGTTTTGGCATTCTTATTTCAGAGGAAGGCCTTTCTAGGCGTGGATTTGAGGTCACAAGACTTAATACATACAACACGGTACAATATTTAATTTCAATAGATTTTGTTGGTACTGCTGCATGGGTTTCCTGTTATTGATTGTTTTATTGTTTTTTTTACTTGTTAGAAAATAAGAGGCTTAAAAACTAAGTGTTTTAGAAATAAGGATGTTAAGATAGATGTGTGGTAAAATAAGAAAATGTAGAATTAGGAATAAGTATATTCATGAACCGGTAGAATTAGCATCAATACGAGACAAATTAAGAGAAAATCGACTTAGGTGGTTTGGACTTATTTATAGAATTTCTAGTCATGCATTAGTGAGGAAGAGTGATTGATATATGTCAATGGTATTGTGAGATATAGAGAGAGATTGAAATTAACTTGGAATGAAATAGTAAAAAAAGGTTATGATAGCTCATGGGTCAATGGAAAATATGCCCTTGATAGAGCACAATTGAGAAACAAGACTTATGTAGCCAATCCTAAATAATTGAGATAAAGGCTTTGTTGAGTTGAGTAGAGTTGTTGGAAAATAACTCCCATAAAATTCAGTGTATACAATAGTTTTGCAAGTTCCTATAGTATATTGTTCTCGTATTTAATGATGTGCACATATTCAGCTTGTAGCTGTTAGTTAGCAGAGATTACATCTCTCTATAGATCTTCAATTTGTGTAACTCTGGAAGTATGCTAGTGCTTCAGATTTGCTAATGGGATTCCCGAATTATGAATAAATTACTTTACTCATTATTATTGAAACTTTGAAGCACGTAACGAGTTTTCAACTTTTAGTATTCAAAGATGGAACATTTATTTTGCTCATGTAATTTTGCTTAAATTTCCATTATCTGTGTTTGCACTGTGTCTCTCAGTAAACATCTATAAATGGACGAATTACCCAATTTTAATTGAACTACACATTAAATTAGATTTGGTAGGTATTAAGTGGATGGTAGATGTGTGAGTCTATTTTTATCTTTTGCTAGGTGGGTTGAAGTGTATATGGTCATTCCGCACAAGGTTTCTTCCAGAAAGACCTTTAGGGCTCAGTGTTCTATTTCCATGCTTAGAAATTGGTGTTGAGGTTCAATCTACTGCGCTGAAAAGCGAAGGAAGGTACCGTGTGACTGGATTAGCTTCTATTTTCTGAGAATTATTATATAAAAATTAAAATTGGCTGTCGCCAGCTGTGTTGATGTATTCGGTGCTTCTGGTTTTCCCATTACTGTCGAGAGTTTACAATTTATATAACTCATAAGAAACAAGGACACAACATTAACTATGCCTGACGAGATGTAGTTCATTTGGTGGTTGATGATTGCTTTATGTTATGTCTGGCAGCCCCTGATTTCTATCAATTTCTTTCAGGTACCTGTCCATCTTGTGGATGAGATGGTTCTTGAACAAGCACTTTCTGCTCCTGTTGTTGCTGTAGCGTCACCTTCTGCCATTCGGTAAACTTTCTGTTGCATATTGTTACACTAGTTTTTGCTTGAATTTACGATAGCCATGTAGATTTTGTATCATATTATTTGCCAACACATTTTATACAGGAAGTATTGGCATTGTGAATGCAAGTGTAATGGTTAGCCACCCACATGACAATGCTAAATGTCACATCAGATACCTAGATTGAGCTTTGGTTTCCATGGTTGTCCTGTCTTCTAAATGCTATTGGATCAGGGTGATCATTTTTTTTTCATTGGGTACCTGGTGTACCATTGGTGAAGTGTTATTCCCCCCCTCCCTTTTGTACTTTTTTATTTTTATTTTTAGTCTTTATGTACCTAGTGAATTCATCTTTTCTGTTGCCACAGTGTCTGGGTTAATCTTATTTCGGAATCAAAATGCTGGGACAATTCGGTTGCATGTATCGGTGAGACAACTGCTCTAGCTGCTCAAAGTTTGGGATTAAGAAATGTATACTATCCAACAAACCCTGGTCTTGAAGGGTAATCTCTTCTCTCCTGACCAATTTTAGGTGAATTCTACTCTAGCTAAAAGTTTTGTTTTAGGTACTTATCTATGTGTCTTTATGCTATGGGGAGAGCATGGTTATAGCACGCATCTGCAACATGCTGTAAAATTGTTGTTTCTTGGAAATGGTTGGGTTTGACACTGGGTGCAAAAAAGGAAAGGTTATTACTTGTTATTAGTCTCCCTAACTCATGGTGTTATTAATCTCTGAAATTAATTTTTCCACTCCCTACTTCACGGTGTTGGTAATCTCTGAAATTGGTTCTTCTACTCTGTAATTCCTTCTATTGTTGTTCTCTTATAATAAACTTCACTTTTCTATGAAATTCTTGCCCCCACCTCTACGTGAGAACAAACTTTACTATTCTTTGACATTCTTGCCCCCATCAGCACGCACGCCGTGGGTTGGGGGTGGGGTGGCGCAAGGCCGGCCTGCAGGTGACTAGGGTGGGTGTAAGTGCAGGATTGGCTCTGTTGTTTGAAACTGATCCATGATTCAGATGATCAAATTCCTTAAATTTGGCTTCAATATGTGTTCTTGACAAGGTTTTTATATTTGAAGAATTTTCCATGTTTCTAACTTAGTTAGCTTGACAAGTGTTTTCGTGGTATACTTTTACAACCTAATCTTTCTCCAGATTCTCCCTTCTTTTTTGCATGTTTTTCGATTCTTCTACTAAATCCCATTTCTTTTGCCTAGTATTTTCTCCTTTAAGTGTTCTTATGTCTTCTCATGTTTCAATTTTCTCATCTAATTCTTAAACACATTTCTCCCTGCCATATTCCCTCTGGACAAACACATTTTGGATTTTGGTTCTTTCCCATTCCATTTACCTTTCATTTACTTTTAGGTCAAGCACCCCTCATGCATTAGTCAGATGCTTACTTGAGTAGTTGAGTATAGTCATTCCTAAATATCATTTTTGATTTTTATAATAACATCTTTGTTTCTAATCAGAAGAATAGTCATTCCTAAGTGAATCATGGTGACTTGTGAGTGATTGATTCAAAAGTAAATAACTGAAGAAGGGGTAATTGGACAGGAGCTGGGTCCACATTATATATATATGTTAATTACTAGTGTTGTGTATGAACACTTCCTTTCAGTCCTAGTTTACAATTCTTGCGATTTTCTTAATTCATCTTTTTTCCTGAAGTTTTTCCTCATTTTTCTTGCCCTTCTATCCACTTGCACGCCTATTTCCTCCAGAATGCACCAATTTTAAAATAACATTAATAGTTTTGCCCTATGTAGTGTCTGAAGGCTCACTATTAATATTAGGTATCACATCAGATTTTGCATGTTGATCCTCTTTACTCTTTTATCAGGACTATACCCTTGACTATCTTTCATTGTCAAAGGTTATTGAGTGTGCATTTTTTTGTGTTCACAATCTTCTTTATTGACGTGATTGGTCATACATGGCCATACTATGGGAGGGTCCCATGTCGATTTGTGTAGACATGGACATGCATTAGGACACATGTTAACATACCACTTAATTCATAAGCTAAAGTGAAGCCCTACCCCTAGATCCCAAAATCTTTTCGGGCTTCATAAAAATCCTTAGTTCTTGATGTTTCCCTCTACATAATTAGGCATTTTAAGTTTCTTTTTCACACAAGAAAGAGCGGACTTCCACGTTTAAAAAGCTGTGTGTGTCACTGAACTTTTATGTTTATAGTTAAGGTACTCAATTTGTGTTATTCACATATCTTCCCAAATGAAAATCATGTCACTCCGACTCATTTTATGCTATGGGAAAAGGAGGAAAAAGGGATGACATAAACCTTATCTACGTAACCAATCAAATTTGTGCATGATCACACTTTCTCTTCTTTGTTGGGATGAAGTAACACATGGAAAACATCAAACATACGAAGAAAAAGTATATAACAAATATATTTACAAAATTATATATGTACTACTTAAATGCATGTCCCATGTTTTAGTTTTTGTTGGTTACCATGTCGATACTTTGCACCCCTGTTTATGTCAGCAGGTCATAAGTTTATGGCTGGTTATGTATATTTACCATAAAAATATGAATGTTTCTGTGATTGAGGTTGTGTTTGTTGAAGATGATCATTTTGCCCAATTATTATGCTCATAAATTTTGAGATCACCTGGTTTGCTATGTTTTTCTCTCCACATGGGTACGCATGCCCAGATATTCTCATCATACCGGAGCTTGCCACTTGATGGGTGTTTACCTTCCCCCTCCCCCAAAAGATGCATAACACACACACAAAAAAAAAAGAACTACCTCAATCAAAGAAGGGAAAATTGGCAGGGTTGTTTAATCTGGAGAACTTGTGCTCTTTAATCTTAAATCCCTCTGGTATTTCTGCCGGGCACTAACCGTCCCCCTCATAAGTTGAACTTTTGGCAGGTGGGTTGATAGTATTATTGAAGCCTTAAAAGTCCATGATCAATTTCAGTAGGTTTAAGAGTTGTCTATTGACACAGTCTTGTTTTTTCCCAGGTAAAGTGTATGGTAGCCTGTTCTTATCTTCTTTCGCCTATTATGATAAATACATTTGATCATTTTTCTCTCTGCCATCCCTGTACGTGGAAGGCTGACTAGGAGCTGACACTTGCAGGTTTTAAGCAGAGGGTAGAGTATATAAATGTCTATCCCCGTGTAAATTTGTAGAAATAAGGATGAGAAGTCTGGAAACATCAGGATATGAAGATGTCAAGATGTTTGTCATTACGGAGTAATGATGTATATTTGGTGGGAGACAAAGATGTCAAGATGTTTGTCATTGCGGAGTAATCATGTACATTTGGCAGAGCTTTCTGTGAGGTAAGCAAAGAGGATATTAAGAGATGATGCTTTGTAAATTCATGTTCTCAAATTGTTTATACATCTTTCATGCCATAAATGTCTCATATTTTGTACCAAATTCTAATAACAGTACAACTTGTTTGACAAAGTACCCTTGATGAAACAATTGACTAGCACTAAGTGGATAAATTTTTACCTAGCAACAATTCACACTTCACTGTCGTTGGGATTAGTTTTATTGTGATAATCTCTTGGTGGTGCTAGTACTCAGGTGGAATTGGAGGGTCATTTTATCAATATGGGGAGGAAGTTTTCCCTGAAGGAAAGATGAGAACATGGTTAACGATCTCTATGGTCAGTACTCAGTAGCTTGTAATGTTTGTTCTGCTCCCCTGACTGTAGTATGGCTCTCTTGTACCCGCGTAGGCTGACAATTTTTGGCACGGTATGCTAATACGATATGCAATTATCAGGGTAGATTTGATTAGTTCTTGGCATGAATTTGAAAAGGATTCAATCCACTAACATGGATAGTAAGCCCCAGCCATGAATAACTCGATTTTGACATTACAAATTATTTTAGCTAGCATAGTATAAAGAAATTGTTGGTATTTTTATTTTTATTTTTATTGGGTTTTTGACCTGGTATTATGTGAAAAGTAATGGTATATATCACAAATTTGTAATCCAAATTTGCATCCCAAATCAAGGAGGACTATTAGATCAGTGGGTCTTATTTTAAAAAGTTGATGAGATCAACTGATCCAATGGTCCTCTTTGATTTGAGATACAAATTTGGGTTACAAATTTAGGATACATAGCACTACTCTTATGTGAATCCTTGTAAATTTAGATGATTTTGTTACTTTATGTTGTAAGCTTCTGGATTGAAAGGATTTTTAGTTTATGCAAGTAAAATACCAATGGAATGTTGGTTAAGTTGAGAGAATGAGGTTCGAATTCAAGATTTTTAGTTCAAGTGTTATGTGGGTCAACCTGAAAATGAATGAATAGGTCGGGTCGGTGTTAGATCATCTGATAATGACATGACCCGAACATAATAGAATACTGCTCGGCTGTCACCCTAAATCAAAGGGTGTACCCTCCATCCTGTATCATTATTAAATTATTACAAGAAGCAGTTGGTTGAATCTGGCAATGGGTGGCCAAATAACCAAAAGACATATTGGACATGGCCGCCAAGCAGTATCTATTGGAAGTTAATCTCATCAGAGTACATAATTTCCTGAAATTCCTCTTAGGCCCAAGGCTCTACCAAAAAACCTGTATATCCCTTCTTTATTTTGTACTCTGGGCGTTAAGACTTTATTACAAGGTAGACAATACAGTACAATGCAGCAATCGAAAATTTAGCACAAGTATTTTATGAGGGTAATGAATTGTGGTGATACAAATTCAAGAGCCAAGGCTCCTGTATAGGGGTGTTAGCTTTGATACGTTGACGGGAATTTGACATGATACGATTCTAAAATTAATATGATTATTAAATAAACATAATGAATGGTTTAGATTAATGTTTGATATTCAGTATATATTAAATAATTTTTTTTTTGAGGGTTTTAACATGAACATGACACGAATAACATAACACAAAAATATTCGGTTCGTGGGTTACACGACGAATTGACACCCCTACTCCTGTGGGGTCAAGATGGACGAGGTGCGGGGAAGATATCAAGTACACATGTTCTTACCGAGTTCTCAGCTAAACTGTGTGAAATGTTTTGCAAGCGTGGACTTTGAATTTTAATCTTTTGGGTTTTATATTTGTTGATTTTTTCCTTTTATCCTTCTAGTAAAGCCTCTCTTTTTCGATTTTTGTTGTTGTGTTTTCTTTTTTTTTTTTTTGTGTAATTTTTTTTATCATAATTAGGATTGATAATCAAGTTGATTCGAATGAGCTCGAATCAAATCTATCGAACTCATTTTTTTAAATGAACCAAAAAAGATTATTCAAGCCGAGTCTGGACAAGTCCAAAAAGAACAGAAATCATGCTGAATTGAGCTCGAAAATATATATATAAATGTAGGGGATTTATCCGCGCGTTCGGGATGTCCTCCCCCCACAGAAGGATTTCAGCTGACCTGCGCGCGTTCGGCAGTAGCCTTTACCTCTCTTCGCCAATAGGACCCTTTCCTAAGGCAATCCCACATCGAAAGAGAGTCGTCTTCCCCCCTCGCATATAAGCCCTTGCACTCAAAGGAGGATGTACCCACTAGCGACCTGATCAGGTGCCTAGTGGGTACCTCATCCTTTGAGTGCAAGGGCTTATATGCGAGGGGGGAAGATGACTCTCTTCCGATGTGGGATTGCCTTAGGAAAGGGTCCTATTGGCGAAGAGAGGTAAAGACTACTGCCGAACGCGCGCAGGTCAGCTGAAATCCTTCTGTGGGGGAGGACATCCCGAACGCGCGGATAAATCCCCTACAATAAACAAGTCGAGTGTTGTCGAGTTTGAGTAGAGTCTATTGAGCTTGTTTTGTAAACGAGTCAAAAAAATTATTCAAGTTTGACTCGTTTAAAAAATGAGCCAAGTCTGAATCAATCAAAAACGAACTGAATTCGAACCAATTATCAACCCCCGTCATAATGATGGACAACGCAATTTACCGTAAGTATTGTGGTGGATTGGTCTAGATGTGCTTTCCAATCCCAGCCACTAAATACACAACCATCACAGAAATAACTTGCACAAAACGTAGTCTTTAATTATAATTAAAGATAATATAATTGCACTTTATGTTAAAAGAGCAAAAGACAGTATTAAGCATTGGGCAGCAAATTGCTGTAACTTCCATTCCCTTTATAAGTAGTCCATAAACTGCAGTGCTTGTACTCTAATATGCAGGAAGAAGCTGCCCATTTATGAATGAAGAGAAGACCGCGAGGGACCGGATTGGCTGATCCCTAGGAGTTAAATGCCCAGATCCTCTGATGGTCATAAATGTCAAATTTTGATACTCAACCACGTACCCGCCAACCTGAATAGGTAACAACATGGTTTAGCTATTGTCAGAGTTTGGTTCAACAATCGAGGAAATGATTAATATCGGGAAAAAATATATATAACTGTAAGTTATTACCTCTTTATTAATGTATCCAGGACATGCTTGTTTTGAATATAAAATAAAGATGGTATAAGATTTTATATTTACTCCACTCAAATTTAATAATATATTATATCCGATGTTAAATTATAATCGCATCCTTCTCCTTATTTGTTTATCACAAATATTATCTGTGTAATACTTATTTAAAAAAAGTTAATAATTATGGCTAACCAATGTAAAATATAATTTTAACTTTTAAAAAGTCAAAATTACGGCTAGCCTTTTATATGAGAATTATACTGAAGTGCATTTCGATCTTTTTAGTTTATAATACTTATACCAAAAATATAATATCACCCCCTAGGTGGTATTCATTAAAACCTTCTATAAGGCATTATGACTACTGTTCATAGTAGGTCAGTATTACGATTCGAAAAATAGTACTAACTATAAAATGTCAAACAAACAACGTATAAGATGGATCCTACGTACTATTTTTCTAATACCATTCTAATACTCAAAACAAATTGTCCCAAGGGTACAATGTAGTTTTAACTGAAGTTTTCAATTTCTTTACGCCATACCTAGTGCTTGTTACTGGATATTCACCATTTGTATCGCCACTGCAAAAATTATAATCATTTAGTTTAAACAAATTCGAATTTGGAGTTTTTAAAGGATGGTGCTTATGCTCTTACATGGAGGGGGAAGATGCCCATTTATATGAAAGAGGGGAAGACCATGTGGGGCCGACCCGATTGATTGAGGGGAGCAAGAAATCCAATCCTTTTAATCTATATTATTATAAAATGTCAATTATTTTTAAAAAATTTTAATTTTTAATCTTGCTATTGGTTATTCTTATAAAGTCAACAAAATCCTTGTCCTTTCACCGTTTTATAATGAAAAGATTTTTTGTTGTTGCCAATTTTACCCTTTTTGAAAATTATATAAAATCCATTTTGTTTGCTATGTCCCATCACTAACGCCTAACTAATGCATCTGGCCAATCAAATCTTCATCATCATCCTGTCTCATCATGTTCCCCCACCAGTAAACTCTTCAATTAGCGATTGCTATGAATCCTGAGAATTAACATGGAATCAAATTAAGGGTTGTGTCAATTTAAAAAAAAAAATGTACTTTAATTACAATGTCTTTACGTTTACACTGAAAATCTTAGTTTCGTTGATACATAATGCGGGATTTCTCTTGAGTAGGTAGTTTTTCAATTGGTTGATGGTTACAATCACCCAAGATTTTCAATTTTGGGTGAAGATTCGTCAATTTTAACATACAATATTTCATATTCAGTTATGTTAAATTTTCTGTAGATGTTACATTAAGAGAAAATTAAGTTTATTTTAACAAATTACACTTGTTACATAGCTATATATGCATTGTCACGATTATGTGGAGCATTCAAAAACAGAATGAGATCCTTTTAATTTCATTTTCACTCAATTTAATTAATCATAAATCATCTATTATAATACAAAGGGTCCCACTATTTATTAGTTGGTCCGTTATCCACCGTTTAATAAAATTAGGTAAAAGTGTAATTGAGATTGAATGTAGATCCTTCTAAAATCACATCTGTCTAGCTTAAACGAATAACTGGACAATATGTGTCGAGGCATTGAATATAACTGGCACAAAATGTAGTTTTTAATTATTAGATATTATAGTTGCACTTTATGTTAAATGAGCAAATAGTTGTAACTTCCATCCCCTTTAAGTAGTCCATAAACTGCTGTGCTTGTACTCTAAATATGGGACCGGTGCCTGAAAGTATGGTATTATAGAAGTGAGAAGTCACAGATTTAGAGTGGAGGAAAAATTCAATAAGAATGATTTTGAAAGAGATGTTGATGGTCGTTAAATGAGTCTATTTTAGACCATCAGATAAGTCTATTAACGTGTATCCTCTTTTATATTATAGATATATAGGGAGAAGCCGCCACTTATGAATGAAGAGAAGACCACATAGTAATTTTTTAATAATTAGAGTAACGGTGAGATTCAAACACAAGACCTCCTGTTTTGATACTTTATTAAAGAATCATCTACTTCAAAAATTTAAACTGACAAATAATGTGTAACTTTAAATATTTATACTTCAGCAATAG